TGGAAGAATTCCCAGTCGGCAGTCCCAAGTGCAATTAAATCAAAGTTTCAAATTATAATGAATCAGTACCCATGAAGTTGAAATAAGTGCAACTACAGCAAGTTGCCATTTCCAAATATATTCTGAGGATCTACAGCTTGCTTGATTCCTCGTAGCATCTCTATGCCCACATCAGATACGGTCTGCTGCAGCCATTTCTTCCTCAACTTACCGACTCCATGATGATGAGACAAGCTTCCACCATTAGCCAGCACTTCGTCTCGCGCTGCAGTCTCCACCTGATCATAGAGCTCCAGTGGGTTGGACAGCCCATGGTAATAAAAGCCAAAATAAAAATACACGCACGCGCCAGCGTCGTAGGTCTGCGTCACACGGCACGTGGCCAGGGGTGGGTACTTGATCCCAAGCTCCGCGCATTTTCGTTTGAGTGCTTCTTTCACGTTGCGGCACAAATCAGAGACTCGATCCCAGGGCACAGAGGTTTCAAATGACTCGGCCAGGAAATGATGCTCGAAGCCTAGGTCCCTGAGGTAAGCGATCACGAAGGTCAGCATGTACCCTCTTTGGCCGTTTTCTTCACCAGCAGGGATGCCTCGATAACGAGAGGCGATGTCGTAGATTCTTCTTTGTTGGTCTGCGACTTGTTGCTTGTCACCTTGGAACAACAAGGTGGCAACACACAGCTGATGATGATCAAAACCTTTAAACTTCGTCAGGTAAACAGCCTTCAGACCATCAAGAAATGACTTAAAATACGACCCACCCTCCGGCTTCAAAGCCTGTCCAAACATGAACTGTTCATTGTCCATCAGGCGAATTGAAGCTGGTGCACATCGCTGCTTCGCAATCTCTCTCACACAGGCAATTCCGATGTCAAATGTGGGAAAAACTATTGACCCATACACTTTACACTCGGGGAGGGGCCGAATTCGTAGGCTCACCTCGGTTACTACGCCCAGCGTACCCTCCGAGCCTAGAATGACGTGATGGATATCCGGGCCTGTGGACATACGGGGAACCTGGCAGCTTTTCTCCACAGTCCCTCTCGGCGTAACCATTCTGACTCGCACCAGGATGTCTTCAATGTTGCCATAGATATTCTTTTTCATTCCAGAAGCACGAGTAGCAACCCAGCCTCCAAGAGAACTGAACTCCAAGGAATCAGGCTCATGACCAACGCAAAGACCTCTTGCATTCAACTAAAAAAAGACAAATGGCCAGTTATTGGTGGAAATAAGCTTCAAGTTGACCATGTTTCTTAACAACCCTTCCAGCAATTATAATTATAGATCATGAACAGTTTACGCCATACCAGTTTGAGTTTGATCGCATGATTTTCAAATGAAAAGAAGAAAAGTTTGGAAATGTCAAAAAAGGTCAACCCTAATCAGCAAACCACTCCAGTTACTTACCAGTAAAAACTCTTATTAGACGAAAAATTAATAGAATCATAACCAATCTTACTCAGTGTTTCTGACCTCTTTTTCTGTTGCAAATTAAGATGTAGTAATGGGCCAATAATCATAATGGTCCTTACAATGCATCTACTCTAACCGGGGCCCTTGGAATAAGATTATCCAATCACAACGGTTTTTGAAAACAAAGGATTCTCAAGTTTTTTTTTGCAAATGGACCAATAACATTCAAGAATTTGAATGCTGTTTCCTGAGAGGTCAGGTAAGTTCAAACGGTTTTAACGTTTTAAACAGTTGGATAGTTGCACCTTAAAGGTTATTGGTCTGTTTGCAAAAAAAACTTGAGAATATTTTGTTTTCAAAAAACGTTGTGATTGGATAATCTTCTCCCAAGTGCTCCGGTTCGAGTAGTCGCACTGTAATTAGTGGCATCCTGTGTTTGCATCTCACCATGTGTTTATTCAAGCCATGAAATGGTTTGACCATCTACAGATATAGGAAAGGCAGACCAAGGCAGAGGGAGCACAAGGCTGTGCTCTAGGAAAAATTGAAGAGAGCCCAGTACTCTAAACTTGTGAAATCCAGTGTGCCCAGCATATGATTTCTATGAAAAAGCTAAGATTTTCTAGTCGCCCAAGAACAAAAGTTAGGCGCCACGGGCCACCACGCTCTGCTAGAGCACAGCCTTGGAGTATAGCTAGGGGATCAACAAACCTAAATTTTTTCTTACAAGCTACCCCACCCCCACCCCCCACCCCAATACCGTTAACCCAAAGGGGTTGACTTAAAAAGTCAAGCTACTACCCACCTGTCTCTCCAGTTCTTGTCCAATAATCCCTGCTTCAATATGAGCTACTAAGTTTTCTTCATCAACCCAAAGAATCTTCTTCATCTCAGTCATGTCTAGTGACACAATCATCCTCTTCTCTTCCACCGGACACTCTAGCGCGTTAGACACACTTGTACCTCCCCCAAAGGGAATAATACAGACATTGTGTTCTACAGCCAGTCGTACTATTTTCTCCACATCCTTGTGGCAGCTTGGCCAAATGACGATGTCAGGGATGCGGTGAAGTACGCCGTGACGGAGCTCGAAAATCTCATGGCAAGTATGCCCATGACCATGAAAGAGCCTCGTGTGAGGGTCGAGAGTAAATTGAATTCCAGACTCTTTGACACAATTGAAGAAAGGCTGGTTTATCTGTGAAGTTGGTAAGGTGCTTGGATCAGGGAGAGGTTTGGAAGGTGAACTAATGTTTATGTCTGCATGGCACTCTTTAGTAAACCAGTCTGCTAATTTAGGAAAAGTAAGTCCTCCAAGAAGGTATCGACTGCCAGTGAATTGAGCTTTGCCATCCTTAATCATAAACTGAGAATCTTTGTAACCCCAACCATTCCACTTGAGAATATCTTGTCTACCTGGAATCTTGTTTTGAGACTGTGGTTTGGCTTCTGGAGATGTAGCTGCACAGTCTTGTGAAGACACACCTGTTTTCCCAGACTTGTCCAAGTGGCCAGCAATCCGCTTAAGTCGCCTATTACTACTCATATCAGTATTCTGTATAGGGAGGGAAGAATGACATGTGTTACAGGTGACAATTGGCAGAAAAAATAGAAATTCAGAAGGACGACTCAAGTGCTGCAGTGCACTACGTATGAAATTTAACATATTTTACATCACTGACCATCAAGATGGCTGGAGATTGGCCAACTATTTTCTGGCATTTTTATGGAGTGAGAATCAAGACCCATCCTAGCAAACACAAATATGAAAAGCCTAATATTCAGCCATCTTGACCAAACAAGCCTGGTCTATAAAAGGAATATCTTATATTTTCTTGAGGAATATAGCAGGGAAGACAGGCTAATGTTGCCCAGTTGACTGGCCAATCAGAATACAGTATTTGCCTTATCTTCCCCAGCTCACACGTTAGCTCAAGGAAGGCCCGTTCAATAATCAACAAAAAATTTAAATGTTCTCAGGATCTGTTTAATGCACTCATCAGTGGCCATCTTGAGGGATCGACCCATTTTGGCAACAACATTAATAAATTCCCCCACTGACGAGCAATATTTTTTGACAAAAAGCTCCCATCACCCCTCCCCCTGGGGTGATTCGGTTTGGATGAATGGAATCTGTCACAAAGTGCAAAAATTCAAGGGACTTGCAAACAGCAACAAAACTTTTCTTCTATTTATTTTGAAAATTCCTCTTTATAGAATCGTAATGGAAGGGGTTGATAAAAAAAAGCCAAGAAATGCACCTTCATGTTCTTTTGTAAGTCATGGAATTGGAAAGGACAACATTGTTCTTGTAGGATTCATAATAGATGCATTCCAAATCCTAATGGGTTTTTCCCCGGGATCCTACTATGAAAGTGCAAAGGCAATTTTGTCCCCCATCCCGCACTTAAAATTTTCAGGAATGCCAACGACCCGCATAACATCCCTGGGGTTGACCCCTCCCCCCCACCCCTCGAGATGGCAGCTGATAAGTACATAATCTGCCATTTTGCAGCAGAAAATTTATTGAATACTATCAGATCAGTAGTAGTAAGGATGCTGTCAACAAACACTTCATCATCTGATCACTTTTGTTTTGACTTTAATCCATATTCGATTCTAGTTGAGGAGAATTACAAAATTGTAACAGGCATGTCGGTGTTGTGTGACATACACAAAATGAAACAGAACCTTTGATAAACCTTCCCTTGATCTTCTTTCCAAATGCAACGAGAACACCTCCTTTAAGGAATCGCCAAATTATCGCCTTTAGGTTCATAAAGGCGTTGAAACAACCCTGAGTTTAATGGCATTAAGTTTCATGGTCTTGGCGAGTCCAAAAATTATTGTACATTGCAAACAAAAACTATCCCGCCTGTATCATAATGTGACTACATGCAAACTGTAAAAATGCGCTCATATCTCCACAGTTTCACACAGACAACTGTGCACAAGAAAAATAAGCAATAAATAAAAATCTCACCTCGTTAAGAAGAGTATTCTCTTAAAATTCAAGCCGACAAAGTGAAAGCTGTAGTCAGATGATGTCCACAAAGCCGAAACAGCGATCAGAGATCGATTACGAAAGACGACCGCGGTAAGCTGGGGCGAGATCCCCACGTGCCACAAGAGTGTTCTAAATATGGCTTCCAGACCAAAACAGAACAAATTGTCGAACAAATTCACAGGCAACCCTTCCTCTCGTCGATCAAGAAATGTCGACAAGGGGCATTTGCATGCATTGCAATGTCTTGAAAGAATGGAGGAGTTTAGGACGAGCGAAATCCTTTGTGATGTTGTTTTGGAAAGTTGTGATGGAGCACTCTTCAAAGTACACAGACTTGTTTTGGCGGCTTGTAGCTCATATTTTCAAGCCATGTTTACCAACGAAATGCGAGAATCAAAGGAAGAAAAAATCAAAATTCCTTTGGAGTCACACGTTTTGAAATTGCTGATCGAATATGCTTACACCTGTAAAATGGATTTGAAATCTCTAACTCAAGTGAAAGCTGTGTTAGTCGCTGCCAACATGTTGTTATTCAATGGAGCGGAAAAGATTTGCGTCGATTATATCGGCAGAAAAATTAACACAAAAAATTGTGTGGAAGTCATAACAGTTGCTGAAATGATATCAAGTCAAGAATTATCAAGAATAGCTTTCGAGTTCATGGAAAAGAACTTTGTGGAATTAAGCTGCCAAAAAGGTATGGGCCGATCTTGGAGAGACATGTATAAGTATTCAATATGGATGCGCCGGTTATGAGGGAAGCCTCTAGACTAGTTTTTGTTGTTTTTTCTTTTGATGTAAATTTGACCTTGCAAGCTTGTGGCAATCAGAGGCTTATGAAAAAGAGCCTCCTACAGCAAATTTTCCAGTGGGTGGTGGTGGGGAGAGGATGGTGTAATATTCCCCTATTGAAAAGACATGGGTGCTCACCATATCCTTTATGCATGGTTCAATTTGACCTGTTACCTTCCCCCGCCTGGCAACCCCTGGGACAAGTCCAGCTTTTCGGAACTGGGGGTGGGGAATTGTTTGAAGTGGTGCTCTTCCTGGGTGTAGGGGGTGAGGCAAATAACTTCTCCTTGTTTTTGCAAAGTACATGTCATTTCTTGTGCAGTTTGCATGCTGGCTGCAGACCTCAAGGCTACATACTTTTAAGGGCAAATGCAGGAATTGGTGGAAGAGTGGTTGGAGAGGAATAACCTATCAAAATTAAAGTCTGTATTTGAAGGTGTTTTTCAAAATTTCCAACGAATGTGGGTTTGATGAGCACTCGAATGTTTTTTTTTTTTGCAAAAGAAACGAAGAAATATTTCTTCAGCCTTGTTTAATAAGAAGACAACATAAATAGACTGTCCTAAGAGGAATACTATACTTATAATATATATAGATAAACAGAGATACAGTCCAGTGTTCTTATGAAGTGTTTTATCATACCAAGGAGGCCCTTTGAGGTTTTTTCTTCGCACATTTTAGTTTTCTAATATATTGTTCATGTTTTACCCACATTATGCACTTATTATCCTTCTTTAAATAAATTCTAGAAAACGTTTATAGAAGTTATGAAAATGTCTCTTTTTGCTATTATAGGGAAATCAATGTTGATCTCAAAAAGACGTACCCAAAAAATATGTATATGAGGTTGATCAGGACCTCGAGGTCGGGGAATTGCCTCTTTTTACATTCCCGGGGGTGGGGAATATACCACCAAGAAAGAAAAAAAATTGCAAATCCCCGGGGGTATGCCCGGAAGGCATGGTAACAGGTCAAATTGAACCATGCATTAGGGGGTTAAAATTCGAAGATCAGTTGAACCTTAAGTGGCAAAATCTAAAATGATTGTCATCACAGCAAGAGTTGTTTTGGTTTCTTAATGGACATTTTACAGCTATGTACCCTGAAAATGAAGAGAACTCCGCCAGTTTTTTGTGGCTTCTGCCTCCTTTAAGGGAATTCAGGCATTACTCAATCACGGCAGAAAAAGGTTCATTTTAGAGAATCCTAAAGAGCAGATTCAATGTAAGAGAACATTGTATCGCATTTCACTTTGCAAACCTGTAAAAATTAATGCTCGAATTACTGCCAAGAGTGCTAATTTTTTTTTTTTAAGTCTATGGGGCGCTTATTTGAAGTGAGGTGTTATTTTGAGGGGGGGGCGGGGAGGTAGATATTAAATTTTTTACTATTTCAACCTCAAGCTGGCACTTGTCTTTGTTTCAAGTGTATTAAAACTGCAACATAAAACATTCATTCAAGGTTCTGTTTGCAAGATATTTTTTCTCTGAAATCACTTTAATAACCTGATACCGTCATAGTTTCTCTGCCCTTGCCCGCCTATATTACTTAGCATGCCCAACCAAAACCACCATGCTACGCAGGCTACCACCCTGGGGGGGGGGGGCACTTTAGGAATTTCTGGGTGGGGATGTGCCGCTGGGACCCTGGAACCCTTGACCTATACCAGAGCTAGTTCAGCTGAATTTTGCTACCCTATACTAGAGTAAACTCCCAAAATCCCCCTATCCTAGAGTAGCTGTTTCCCCAATCTAGATAAAATCTTCAACCAACTGATCAGTTTCCTGAAAAATGATACCCTATTCTAGACCCAAAAGCTCTGATTGATATACCCTATCCTAGAGTAAACTGCTTGAAAACCATACCCTTCACAGCGGCACATACCCATATAGCCCATATATGGCAGTACCCCCCGCCCCCCCGTGGCTACCACCTCCTTAAATGGTCACTTCTCAAGTTCTTTTCATGGTAAACATGATCTTTTATTTCTTTGTAGGATTTCTGTCCATGCCAGCAGACATCTTAAAAAAGTTAATTTCATCAAACAGCCTAGATATTTGCTGCAATGAAGAAGGTGTTTTAAAATTTGCCTTGGCTTGGATCAGTCACGACGTGACAAATAGACGCGAACATTACCCTGATGTAATGAAAAATATTCGACTTCCACTTGTGCCGAGAAACTTGTTGATGGAATTACTGGGGTCTGATTTTGGAATACTCAAAAATGCTGGTGAGTAGTAGATTCGCACAACCCCAAGGGGTGGGGGGTGGGGGGCTGGGGGTGGGGGAGGAGGCACTAACACAAAGCTTTTTTTGAGAACCCGAATTCGGCAAAAGTGGAAATTAACTAAATACGAAACACAAAGAAGCAACACGACGGTGCCAGGAAGAGAAGAGGTTCACCATGTAACGTGACGCAACTGAAAGCGATAAAAACACAAGCGTCCAGCAAGGTTGGCTGTTTAAGTCTTAATGTTGCGACCACTTTCGTTATTCGTGTCATACGTGTGAGTAAAAGGAAGGTTGCATGACCGAGTTCCTTAGCGTTCACTGACCATCCAGGGTTCAATTCCTCCCTCTTGAAACTTTCTGGATTTGTTCTCGGTAGCCCTAAAAGTACGAAATAGCTAACTGGCTTGCCTCTGGTTATTTGGGATTACTTTTCATGTATAATTTGCAGTGTAGAGATTAAACAAATTTTTAAAAGGTAAGGATTGGAAAAACCTGAGAAGCACCAAGTTATCTGATACGATTTTGATTACCAACTGCTGGTCTTCGAAAAAGTTCGTCTTTTTACGTGTACTTTACACTTTTCTATCTGTTCGGACGTTTATAGACAACATTTGCCGCCTAACCATCTAAAAAATGTGGCGTATCCAAAAAGGGACCTATAATTTTCGGGTCTGGGGGAAATGGTAAGCTTTTGATCCCTATAATTTTCGGATCACTAGGCTTTCAGCTAGGAAATCCGAACAGATTTTTTAGACCAAATTTAAATACCCCCAGTGCTATGTTTAAGTGGTTTTGAACCTCGGAAGGTCTGGACCCGTCACTGGTGCAAATTTTGAAATTTTAGAACCAAAGCGCCCTTTGTTTCAATCAACTTTTATTCCTTCCGGGGGGGGTAGGTAAGTTTTGATCCCTATAACTTTCGGATCACTAGACTTTCAAAAATGCAGACTAAAAAATTTTTGTCTAGTCATTTTTTATTGACGGCGAAACCAGAAGCACAGACATCCATAATCTGGAGCTTCCGCAGCTGCAACTAATGGTTGACGACTGGCTTCTAGTCTTCTTTGCCTTCGACGAAAATAGAAGAAACCACCCAAGACAACAATTACCACAGCACCGCAGATGATGCCAATGATTAAAGGCGTGTAATCAAAACAGTCAATTTCTTTGCACCATCCTCCACAGCAGTTGTAAAAGTCGAAGTCTCCGCCATGACAATCAGAGTTCGTGGAACACAGCGATCCTCCGCAGTCAATCGAATTGGTACACTTTTTGTTACAACATATAAGGTCTCCAGTATCATCACAGTCGGTGTCAGTCAGACATGAGTCACAGTCTAATTCACATTTGTGGTTACAGCAATGTTCATTGGTCCCACACTGGTCCTTTAATGAACAATCCTGACCGACACAATTCGGAAGTGACACGCACAAATGATTGCAGCAGCTTTCACCATCGGCGCATGCCGAACTCTTGTCGCAGGTACAGCCAACACAACTTGATCCGTTAACACATTCGTAACAGCAGCAGGTTTGGCCTATGGCGCATTCGTCTTGATACACACAGATAGAACGATCCTTGAAGGTTCCCTGCATAGCTAACGAAAAACCAAACAACGTGTTTAGCACCATCCAAGCCTGGAGCAGTGATACCGCCATTATTGAAATGTTGTGACTCCAAAGTGCTATAATATTATGACGTCACTGGACAAGCCGGAAGCTATTGGTATTCTGGGAAACAAGAGCAAGTGAAAGAGTATGAGTCAGTCAAGATGGCAACTTCCATGTTTCAAATCTGCTTGGATCATTTAAACTGTGTGGTGTTGATTCTGACATGTGGATCGTCGTTGGTTGTTCAGGGATGTGTGACAGCAGCAGACTGTAGTGTTAGTCAAGTTTGCTGCGATGATGACTGTGTGGATGGCTCAAGTTGTGTTGGCCACGTTTGTTTTTTCGATTCCAACTGTGCCTGGGGCGAAAGCTGTTGCGGAACTCCTGGTGTATGTGTTCTAGGTTCAAATTGTTTAGGACAAGCATGTACACCTGACGGTACTGGCGGAAAAATCTGCTCCGGAGGAGAAAGCTGTTGTAGTAGAAAGTGCATCAATGGAAGTGTCTGTATTGGGTCATCCTGTTCGAAGGACTCCGTTAACAACAGGTGTCACGTCCTATGGTTCCACATAAACATCTGCAAAAATTCCTGTGGCCTTTTGTCTTAAGGCGTGGTCCGATTGATGTGGTAACAGTGAAATACCTTGCCGAGTAGAAGCTCATTTCCTTTCTTTGTAGCTTAAAAGTCATGTAATTTTAGCTATACGCAATGGAATCTTGAAAGGGGCCATTGTGTGGTTCAGACTTCATCGAGCCGCATCTTGCTGAAGTGTAGACAAAAATGTTTTTGATTACATCCCCTTGTTTCTTGGCGTAGTCTAAATTAAAGTAAATATTTCATTATTTCCTCGCCTTATGGGGCTCTTTAGGGATAATGAAAAAAAAAATTAAAAGGAACATAACAAGGTTAGGAATCCCAACTGGTAAAAGGCGAATAAGTTGGCTATTTCACATGTGTGGCCGAGGATTTGAACTCGGGACTACCGCGATCCAATCCAGCCAGCGGTTAGTGCAGGACTTGAACTCGGGGCCTATGGATTACAAGTACAACGCTCTAACCTCTCGGCCACGCTGCTTCCTCATATCGTCAAACTGTTACGGATTCTCCCCCTCCTTGACTGGGTCCTGTTTTCTCGTTTCTCTGCGCCTCCCAATTTGGAAGTGAAAACCCTGGCAACGAGCTTCGTCATACGTAGTTGATGAGAAACTCTGGGAACGACGTTAAATCTGTGATGTGTTATCATCAGATTGCTTTTTCAGGGGATTTTCTATTTCCGCCGAGAAAAAAATACACTAGATACTAGTCGCTTTATTAAAGTTGTAGATCATAGAAATGATTGTCAAAACGTTGAACCGCCAGCGAGCCCTTGGCGAGTGGTTTAACTACAATATTTTACAAATTTTGGTATTGTCTCTATTAGCCATATATCCAGTATGTTTTTTGAGAACGTTTCTGACAAAGCCACTTTAAGGAGAAGATTTTCTTCCCAGAGTCAACTGTGGAGACATGTTGGCTGAGTTCACTTTTGAGTCTGTGGACAAGAATTCTTAAGTAGTGAACATGTACCTCCCTCCACACAGTAACCTCTGTTTCTTTCTACGTAACTCTTGGGTTCAAACCATTCAACGTGAAACCATTCAGCTCTAGTGCCATTTGTTTCTCGGCTTTTTTGCGAAATGCGGATTTTATTTTAGCACTTTTCAGTAAAAGTAAGAGTCCAGTTTTGTTATTTGTATTTGTATTTGTATTTTGTATTTTCTCCACTTAGCATCAAGTACAGAACTATTCATTACAGAAAATCAATTTTGTTCCCCTTAGTAAAATTGTATATAACCGTAAAATTCCGAAAATAAGCCCCGGGGCTTATATTTTTCAAAGACCCATTTTGAGGGGCTTATTTTTGGAGGGACTTATGTACAGAGGGAAATTTGAGTTTCAAAATCGATTGGGCTAGCCTTATTCTTGGAAGGAAATTTACCGTTTTTCTTTGTTTTACTTTGTATTTGAGGGCAGTGTCCAAGAACAAGCCCCCCCCCCCCCGGGGGGGGGGGGCTTGTATTTGGAGAGGCTTATACATGGGGGGGCTTATTTTTGGAATTTTACGGTATGACAGCAAAAAAATAGATACAGCATAGATATTATACTGAAAACGTGACCATCTTGCTTGGTGACCACCGACCGTTATTTAAGACTATATTCAGGCGCTAAAACTGTTTCCTGGCGTCTGTTGCAATGGATGGCAATCAGCTGAACATCGATTGAAACTTAAAAACGTTAGGCTAGTTTTTTCAAGTAACTTTTTTTCAAGCACAGAATTGACCAGAAACAGCAATATTCTCTTGATGTAGCCCCTTTAAAGGCAGGACCTCTGCAATTAATAGGACAGGTCATTTTGAACAAACTGCAGTCGACTCCCGATAACTCGAATCCTCGCTAACTCGAACCTCGCGCTAACTCGGACCAAAATCGATTTCCCTGGATTTCCTTCATACGTTTACTGTAATTTTACCCTCCGTAACTCGAACCTCCCGCTAGCTCGAAGTAATTTTTGTTTCCCTTTGGTTCATTTTTCTATAAAGTTACCCTCAGTAACTCGAACCATGTTTTGAGCGCTTGTAAAGTCAGGGAAAAAACCGTGTACTGGCGTCCGAAGCATTGAATTTTGAATTTTCCATTGACGTGTTGTAGGCATATAGCTTACTTGTGGAGGCTAATGTTGTTTGTTACAAATCTAACGTGAAACGGCTTTCCTTCTCAAAACTGTTAAACGCATGCTCTGTTTGGGCTATGTTTTGTTACGTTACGTTCTGATTTATATTCTAGAAGCATCATTCCAGTTTAACTTGACATTTCTACAGTTAAATGTGATTAAAATGTTCACGGTACAGAAAAAACTGGTTTTGCCCTTACTACCGGCTATTTGCTTCAAGCTCCCGACAACTCGACTAACTCTCGATAACTCGAACTTTTTTCGATTTCCCTTGAAGGTTCGAGTCGACTGTAGTTGTTATTTCTTTTAATTTTTATCTTACTTTGTTCAGGCTGTGAAGCTCTTGTTGAGGAGATAAATACTTACCAACTTCATCCAGAAAAGAGAGCCTTGCTTCAGACTCCACGTACAACTCCACGGAACACAACTCCGAAAACACTTTGTATTGTAGGAGGACTCTCGGGATTTGACAGTCCTGACAGATATTTAAGCCGAGCAGACGTCCTTTGTTTGGAAGATGAAAAGAAATGGGGGAAAATGGCGTCCATGCGTGAGACAAGAGAATCAGCAGGTACAGTGCGTCGTGCAGTAGACTACAAGTTGGCGTAAAATATAAATACTTAATTATCCACTCCCCTGATGGGGCTTTTCAGGGATAATGAAACAAATAACTCAAATGCAACATAATATGGTTAAGAATCACGACCGGTAGAAGGTGAACCAGTTGGCTTTTTACAAGCCTGGCCCGAAGATTCGAACTTGGGACGGCGGAGAACAAATCCAGTTAGCGCTCAGGGCAGCGCTTTAACCGCTCGGCCACGCTGCCTCCTGCGTCTGATTGGTTTAGGGGTGGGGCCCTTGATGGAGAGAGGAGGGGCTTATTTAACTTCGCGAAACACAGTATCAGTAGAAAGAAAGAGGAAAAACAGCGCTGTATAACGGTATACTTGCTTTTAGCAACTGAAGTGTGCTCCTGACATTAAGCACTTGCAGCGTTAAATCGTACTTTGATCATTATACACGAAGTGCTACGTTTGTAGACCAAAATCGGCCGCAATTACGTTGACTGAACCAGATGTATTGCCGCCGCAATGGAACATTTTACAGTTATGAGCTTAGTACCCTAGCCTCCGAGTGAAATTGAGGCTAAGGTTGACCTTGCTTTCATTTTCTTATGAAAATCGTGCAAAAAAATACTAGTTAGCATGAGAACAACATTATTTACATGATAGAGCAGGAAGGGTTGTGTGAACTCCAGCCTCCTTTGCACCCGTAACTGTAAAATGGACATTACATATGTTATTAAATGCCCGTATACTATTGGCCCTTTTTCGGTGCATGGTCACTAGCGTTCCCTTGTTCAGGTCCCCACCAATGCAGCAAACCAGTTATTTAGCAGCACATCCCTTTTGGGTTCATACCCGTAATATAACTGTTCACTTATGATCGCATTCTCGTTGTAGCTGTTGTCAAGCTCAACAACCTCATCTATGTAATGGGCGGCGTCAGTGCTGACGCGAATCTCAGCTCCGTAGAATGCTACAATCCCCAGCTGGATTCTTGGACTGGACTACCCCCTCTTAAGTATTGCAAAGGACAAGTATCCGGAACTGTTTTGAATGGATGCATCTACGTAATTGGCGGAACTGATGATTCCCTTCGAGAAGGTCTGAAGACTGTTGAGAAGTACAATCCATGCAGAAACGAGTGGGAGGTAGTTTCGCCCATGCGCATAGGAAGAGGAGCATTAGGTACGTAATCATACCTCATTCTCGACCCCAGTTTGATGCTTAGGTATGACCTCATATCCTTGTTTCCACGTCTTACCTTTTCCTGTATCTTTAAGGGTAAAATTAGCGAGCTTTAGATGGAGCTTTTGTTCTATTTGACGGGGAAATGGATTGCGCAGTGGTGAGAGCACTCGCCTCCCACCTTTTAATAGAACTCAGGTCTATTAATTACACGTGGAGTCAGATTTTATAGCCCTAAGTTATAGGCCTATGGTAAAGCTTTTTGTTCAGGTCTTGGAAGAAGGAATGAGATCGAATGGTTGTTGTCATTAGACATGTCAGCACACTATCTTCAAGGGGGTAAACATTTTTTTCACCGTCACGATTTCTTATTATGTGACCGTTTCAGATAAAAAAAGACACAAAATATACGAAGCTGTATGAATAAGCGAGGCTTAGTAGCCCTTGAACAAAGCGAAATGCAGGACTGGGGCGAAAAATGCAGAAATACTGTATTACCAGGAATAAATTTATAGCTACACCTCAAAGGTGCAAATTGTGAAAGAATAAAATCATTGGTCACAAATTTGGTGAAGATGGTAATTGCAATAACTATAGTGAAAATTATCAAACATAGATCAGGTCGATTATCAGTTTGGTTATAGTATAGTGTGCAGCTCTACAGCATTTGTAAACAAATTTTCAGTCTTCCCAATTTGATCCACCCAAGCTGCTTTAAATTTTGCCCGCTTCTCTATTTTTGCTTTCCCTCTCCTACAGATTTTTTTGTTCAAGGTTTACTAAGCCTTCACTAACATGCATTTACGATCGGTGCTTTAGCTGAAGCCTCATGCACTCGTTCCATTGTGTACTTTTCTTTTTGCAACATCCCCTCCTGTTACAACACAAACTCAGCGCGCTGTGAAAAGAATAAAACACCTTGAGCCGGGTTAAATCTTTTTTAGGTGTGGCTTCACTCGAAGGAAAGATCTATGCGTGCGGAGGAGGAAACTTCAATTTTGCCGTCTCATCAGTTGAGGTCTACGAACCACAGAAAAACCGATGGTCGACTGCGCCGCCCATGAAACGCGCACGCGCATTTCATGACGTCGTGGTCGTGCGCGAGTCTCTTTACGCGCTTGGTGGCGCGGAAATGCAAAGCGGCCAGCTTTCGGACCTTCAAGCTTCGGTAGAAAGATTCCATCCTGAAACCGGACAATGGATGATTTTGAAATCGCTGTTCCTACCTTGCTGGGGAATCAGGGCGGCAGTGAATCAGAAATCAGCTGACCAAGAGACTGACGTTTATATTGTTGGTCAGTTTCAATTCACGGATTCAGATCATGGAGCGGTCGCTAAGCTTTGCATTGGCGATGATGACTCGCATTTGCTTACAAGTGTCCCTTATTTTGATGAGCCGTCACCTAGGATACAGGCAGGTGTTGTAATTATGCCTTGAGATTTGAAATTACTCATACGTAGAAAGCAACTCTTTTCTCGACGTCATGTCGGCGTAGCCGATATGTAGAAGTGAACCTGCGAAGGAGCGATATTTTCTCGCGCGATAAAAACTCCCTTTTCGAAGTTCGCCTTTGCATCTCCTACTTTCACGATTTCACTTTAACACGTCAACAAAGGCAGAAATTGCCAGCAGAAATCAACGGGCAGGTTTCCACTGGCAGTCAGTTGTAACTGGTCAATTATTGTTAGTTTGTGACAGATATGTACAGAAGAACGTTTTCATCTTGTTCTGGATGAAAAGAATTTGAAATCTGTCCATAAAATGCATGCGCAGGTGGAAAATCGATCTTATAACACCACTGTAAAAGTATCTTCTATGGTCTCTCATTGCCGAGGGGATACAGTTCCTAGTTCATTCGTTAACTTTCAAAGGCCTCCACAACCTATCGCCTTTCTACATGAAAGAGTTCCTTATGTGCTCCTTATCGTCCCGCACATTAGCTGTGGTTATTTGGCCTTTGCCGATTACCGCATGAAGCTTGTTGTAGGTCTGAATTAATTATCAATAATAAACTGGTATGCTTTGGTGGCTATTTTTGATAGTGTCGCTGAAGTCTTTCAGTTCTTTTGTCCGGTTTTCCTCACTACCCACCTTGATTAGCTAACCAGCTATTTTCGGGTAGAATGCAATTTTAAAATGTGAGATACAAAAAATGTTGTTATTGTTGTAACCTGCTCGCGGAGTTTACACATGACGTCACGTCCGCCGTATTCGTTTTCCAGAAGAAGGAAACGGTGGCCATGTTGGTGTCCCAAACCAGTACTGTGGGATTTGAATTCTCTTTTGAATTTGTTATGTAAAAACTTTCTTTTACTCCAATAAATTTACGTAGATGCTGGTCACGTGAGTGAAAACACTTTAAAAAACAGGTACTCGTCTAAGCACTCTCGCACTTTATGTAATGATGTCTCTTATCTGCTTTGTTCGTTGCGTTGTCGTTGTTTTTGTTTTCTGGTGGCAATCTTTGCTTACCCTTTGAGCCCTAACAATGATAAACATTTCAGTAATTTCTTCTTCTTCAGTCCTACAATACCACTCCATCATAAAACTTCAAGGTCACGAGAATTCAGAAAATGATCAAGAAATATGAACTGTCTAGACTCTGAAACAGATCCTCGTCATCAGAACCACAGGAAATTTTTCTGGATAACCGTACGTGTTAAAAATGACTTTAAGAGGCTACTCGCTGGGCACTAATGTGAACACCGCTTTTTGCAAGTACCCCATGCCAGAATTCAGTCACGAAAGTAGTCACCGGATCCCCTGTGTGCACACGTGTTTCGTTAATTCCAAGGCAATCTACTTCTTTTCATACCCACAACTTCCTGCTAAGCTCAAGTTTAAAAATAGCCTGCGACAAGGCGAATTCTTCAAATGCATTTCGAATTCGCATATTTCTCTTCCTTTCTTACTAATTTGGAACTGAAACGTGAACTGTACCTTCATACACTCCCGTGGTTCCCTCGAAAAACCATACCCGATTCCAGACCAAATTGGGCAAAATCTATACCCGTTTTCAGACCAAAACAGCAAAACCCTACCCGTTGGGGCCGCACATACCCACATGGCTTATAAAATGGAGTGACTCCCCCCGGAACCACAGAAAATTTCTGTATCAGTGATAATGCTCTGTCTTTATAATTTTATGCCGTGTGTTTTGGTCGTTGTGTCCAACATTGGGGCGGAACTGTACTTGCTATTTATAGTGTAAATATTTACTCACTTTGTTAGCACTTTAGTCTTGGGCTAATGCGTATATTTATTGAATATTTTTGTAAATTTTAATTAATCAAAATAACAAATAAAGCAATTTTTATTTCTTTACTAAACTCGAGCATCGGTATTTTGCAATTTATTCGGGTACATTAAAAGATAAATTAATAAACGACAAACGGCTGTTAGGGTTCGAGGTTTGAAATGTGTTTCTAAAAAAAACCAGAAAAATAAAGGGTACTGGAGTTATTTTTCGCCTCTCAACCAATCAGTGTACCTTATTACGTTGCCTCTTCCAGGAAATGTATTAAATATGGTGCGTTTTAGCACGTCTCACCCGAGCCATTCGTTCCTTTCAGATCTTCCGTAAAGTTGTCATTTAAATAAACAAACACAAATCGCCTGATTAACATACAGTCACAACAGCTCTTATTCTCAGGTGATTGAAAACTCTATTAAAGGTCTTAAGAAATCCCCTAGAAATGAAATGAAATGGACTGCTGGTGAACATTCCAATCCGATAAATCCGACTTGGGGTCAATAAACGGAAGTCATCAGAGAAGATAAATTAACAACTTTGCTTCTCTTGTGAATTTCATGCATCGCAAGCGTCTCTTAAAGTTGGTAGATATGGTTTGCTTATTATACACGGGATTAAAATTGGTCCCGTCAATTTATTTTTTCTTTATACCGGAATGCTTCGTTGAATGGTTCAGAGATGATTCAGAAATGGAAGCGGTTTTATTTCACGAACTTAAATAGTTCGCGTGACTATTTTCTCGGAAAGCGGAACTATCATGACGCCGATTCCGAGAAACAACTTCCGGTCGACATATCGTCTGTTCTGTGCGGTTCGCAGAAAAGTGCTCTATTGAATTTCATCGTTGTGTAACTATAGGAATTTTCTTGTTATCAAGAACAGTCTGGCAAATGTTACGGAGAAACACAAACAATTCAGTCTTACAACGCAAAATATCGAGGAAAGCGATGGAAAACGATTATGTCAACAACATCAACTATTTCTACACCAGCGTCGTATTTTGACAACGTTCTACAGACTTTACAGACAAGTGGCTTTTATTGGGGAGCAATAAACGCAACTCAGTCAAAAACGTTATTGATGCACAAACACATTGGAACTTTCCTTGTGAGAGCTAGCTCTGATCCCAAACATTTATTTACGTTGAGTTTAAGGACAGAATCAGGTGTAACAAACATAAGGATTGTCATGAACGACGGAAAATTTTCCTTGGATCAAATTGAGAACAATGGGGCCACAACTCGCCCTGCAAGCTCGAGTCAGCGGACTGCATTAAGATTTGATTGTGTGGTGAAAATGCTGTTTTATTATATGCTCCTAACGAGGCGAACTTTGCGGCAGATTTCCTCGAACACAAGAAAGCGTGACCGAGGACCAACGTTATTTCTTACAGCACCCCTATATAAAGAAGTTTCCAGTCTACAACATTTATGTCGAAGGACTCTTAATCGTCATGTAATAGGAGAAGGGGTATACAAGCTACCCATTCCTGCAAAACTTAAAGTTTACTTGAGGAAATATCAGTACCCTTTATAGCACTGTAGCAATTCACTGACATTGCTCACGACCATAACAACCACACAGGAAATGTAGAGTCTGAAAAGATTGCGCGTTGCGGTCGCGGCTTACACATTTTTCCGAGAAAAAGGGGAGGTACCATTATAAAAATTAAAAGCGTGCCAAGGCTCTCTTTGTATAACTTTAAATTATTTTGGACAGAAAATAGGTTATATATGAATAATATGTTATGTAAAGATTACGTTTGTATATTGTATAACTTGGATGTTATTTATGAGAGAGATTAAACGTGTAATATTTTTCAAGCAAGTTTATGAAATCGATGCCCCATCTCTAAGCGCGTCCTCTGTTTCTGAGAATCTTCGTAGGATGAGGCTGCCTGAAGGAAAAATACTAAAACTCACTATAGTGATTACTTTCGAGTCTCTGACATGGAAAGAAAGTTTTAAAACTATTTTATTTACTGCCAGTCAACATCTCAACCAGTTCAAAAACGTCTTCAATGCTGTCTTCAAGCGATTTACATAAGGGGTGAATACCATTTGTAACCATAGACGTATACGTATCTTTTATAGAGCGCAAGCTGTTCAAGCCTGTTTTGTCGCAGTGGTGAGAGTTATATATAAAAACTAATAACCGATAAGATATAAACCTATAAAACCTTTTCGACTGCATCGTACAGACAGCGTCTAGCTTATTGCAGGTTAAACTTAAATAAAGCTTCAGGTTTCTTTAATTGTCGGAATTTTTAATGACTAAAAAGTATACAAAGCAGAATGTTTGGCGACACAAGCGGCAACTTCTTGCGCGATCATTCGTTCACTTCATTTCAATTCTTTCCGGCTGGCAAGCAAGTTAAATTAATTCCGCGACTAAAAAGTTCCCGGGGAAATCCCCGGAATCAGTCTCGACCAATCCGCTTCTATCAAAACAGTGACGTAATGGTAACCTCTCAAAAGGAAGCCGCCTCTCTCTCTCAAGTCTATCAAAATTGTCGGCCCCTTTTGCTCAGGCGCGAAGCATTTCGCGATAAATGAAAAGATAGTTAAACTATTTTATACATTCTTGCCTAAGTTTCCACTAACTGGTAGGTGAAACCCACCCACTATCTTCAAATGGAAGTGAGTAGTAGCCCCTTACGCTCAGTTTTTCGAGTGAGCGTTTAGCACGAAGCGGGCGTGGAGCGCCCTCACTCGCTTCACGCTTGCCGTTTCTCGTCTGAAAAAAGCGAAAAAATAACGCCTGTTCAGCAGGCTGGAAATTGAGCGACTCTTGTTCTTTCAAACCTCTTGTGCAGCACCTTTCTAAAGTTAGGCACCATTGTAGATCTATGCTTCAGGGCAAGCTGTGTTGCTATGAAACTGGCTTTGTTTTAATTCAGTCGTCTTCCTTTTATTCCAAGAACTGAGCACACGTGCCCATTGTCAGGAAGAACCCACTTATTTTGACAGTTTAAAAAAGAGGGTTCAATTCTGCGAAGCTGTGTATTTTGGTAATACGCATGTCCTTATTTAGTATTAAGCCTTAAGTACAAAACAGATGATCAAGTCACGCGTTTGTTAGTTTTCGGTATCTTAAAACCGCTGAAAACCGGTTTTAATTAATCTGTGGAATGAATTTTGTTGTATTTTTACTGTTTTGAATCATGAGTACAGCCCTGTAGTCTTCTATAACAGCCACACACAAAAAAAATTCAAATTAATTTTTGATTTGTTTGAATTTAGCGGATTTGAACGACTGTGACTTAAGTAGTTCGACATTGATGCCGTATTCACATGCTTGCCTCATGACTCGGTCTCTTAAACACTTATGCATCTGCTTGCAACATGTTTCTTAGCAAAGAGTATGTCAAAAGTTGTATAATGGGCAATTATGTTTTTACAACCAACAGGTCGCCGCGCTAACTTCGAGCATAAATAAAGAGCTAGCGAAACAGAACTTTTCATGTCATTTAATTATGTTCAGTCAACTGGGTGCATATTTTCACCTCAGCTTCAAAAAACCTCTCAGGGTCGGTTTTTTAGTGAAGTCTAACTTAGACCGCGGTTAAGGAAATCTTTGAACCTCCAAATCTCTTTCTTAGTGGTTATTTTACGAAGGGAAATGCTTTTCTAGTCTACTATATATGCTTCAATGAAACCGTTCACGACAAGTGGTGTTTGCATAAAAGCGTTCGCCAAACTGAAAATGGCTCAACACGTGGTTTTGTTAAAGGAACGGTATCCCGAGTCTGCGCATGCTCAGAATTTTGATTTTTGTTCATCCTGTCGCGAAATCAAACGATGCGAGGAGAGTAAGAGAACCTTGAAAAATCCGTTTGCATCGCGCTTGGCCGGGTTCGATACTACACTAAAACGTTTCAGAATTACAGATCAATGATATATTGTTCCCTTTAAGTTTCGATTTGGGCGAAATCGGGATGTTTTGGCGTTACTTCCATTGCAGTTGGTTGGAGGACCAAGGGAAGGGAAGCGCTTAAATGCCAGTTGAAGGCTTATTTCTCCCGCCAGCTTTCATACAAGTTCAGATCATCGTGAAAGGAATACGCAGAAATGGAACAGCAACAATAAAGACTATGTAAGAAAGAACCATTGAGACATCGATGTGGCAGAGAGATCTTTGCAACGACGCGTTAGTAAACTTTTAAATAAACATCCCTACGGCCGTTAAAATCAAACAAACAGGCACAGATGTTTTGAGCAACGAGTGCAATTAAATCATAATATTATGTTTGACTAACCTTTGCGATGCTTCATCGCGTTGAGATTGAATTTTTATCAGTTTTATCGTTCGAGCTTTTGAGGCTAGAACGCCAGCAAGATGCTCGCCGATGCTCATATTTCGAACTTGGGCTACCTGTGGTTTCACGGCGGAAAAGCTGTTTTATAAGCAAGCGGAACGAGTGGAACGAGCTTTTCGGGTCTCGAGGCGACCGCGCTAGCGACAAAATCGAGATAAGTCTTCGTGCCGCGAGCCAATTTATAGACGAAGGGCTTCTTCGAAAGTCTAAAATATTACTTGAGAATGTAAACAACAAATCTCCGTCGGCGGTGCGGTCCGAAAGGAAATCTTGACGCGTCAATATGACAGTTCGATTGTCTTTTTAAGAAAAAACGGATGATGCTCGGCGTACGCTGGCTAAACTCCGTTTAAATAACTGGCCTTAGTATTCCAGACGGCAGAGTCACTTGAAGTGCTGACTCTCAGGGTGACCGAGAAGGCGCGCCACATCTCATTCTTGCCTCCAGGGCACAACCATTAAAAGCTGTTCCAAAGCACATGGTCGTGGGAGATCTAACAAATGAGATCGGCCGTTTCCTCTGGTCACGTGATCATCGAATCGCGAGGATCTGGAGACGAGAATGGCCCGCAAAGCTTGCTCTTGTGCGCGCGCTTCCGTTTGTTGTGACTTCAGTTACCCATGATGGCTACACTGTCGTCGGTAGCAAGCTGAAAGGGAGATGGTATACTATTCACTTTATAAGTTAAAAATCCAAAATGTTGTTAACAATTTTGAAGGATGTCAGATTGCAGGCATGCGCGCTTTGAACCATTCTACACGGGTCCGGATAAATTTTGGGACAAAAACTTGCTTGGAACCACCATTCGTTTATGAGGGACCCGCGGAACCACGCACGTTTTTGAACGGCAAAGTGTTCAGTCTACCCGATGAAAGGTAGGTTACAGTTTTTGACTGGTACGGTTCCACTTTTACGCGGCATCGGGTAAACACTTGAAACGTGCACGCTTTTGTACAGTTTGGGTTGTTCAAAGCTGGGTTAAGATAACCCACGGTTAGTGCAAAATTTGAATTTGATATGAAAGTTTAAAAGGCAAATTCAGTTTAATTCTTTTTGTCTAAAACTTGATGAATAGATACCCTGAAAGAAATAAGGAAAATTATCTGAGAAACAAAAGAAACTTAACCCTGGGTTAGCACTAATCGGCCTTCAAACAACTGGGTCGTGGAGCGTATTTATGCGCCGTTAACTCAGCTCGAGTGCTGGACTCGTGTGAACATGTACAGTACTGCAATCTGGACATAATTTTCACAGTTCCGTTTCCTTAAAAAATTTGTCCGTTCAAAAGTTTCCCTTTTTTCATCTCAGATATGCGTCCATGATCAAATCAATCCTGACAAGCGGCATGTCCTTCCCAATTTTAACTCACTGGTCGAACACTTCAAATTCTTTTTCCTTATTTTACTTTATTTTTCTCTTTATTGTTATGTCCATGATATCAATAGAGGATAACCCTCTCTTCGCTTGGTTATATTTTATTATTGTTCATCTCAGACTTTAAACCGTAAGTTTCTTTTTATTTTCTAACGTTTGTTTGGTAATCATTACTTATCATTTAAATTAGTTCCATTACCTCATCCGTTTGTCACTATGTTTTAAATAATATCATTTTTTTTTTAATTTTACACTTATGTCAAATTGCCAGCTGTAGTGCCCTCATACTATTGTAACGATTTTCCGTTTCTTATATCCGGTTAAGAAGGTCTGAAACGCGGGAATTAATCTAGTACCCAGATCTCCCACGGCCAAGGGAAAGGGAGATCTGGTAAAGTTCGATTTTGATCATGTTCGGTAGAAGTGAGGCTCGATATGCGGGCCTTGTTATAACTGCGCATGTTCGTGCTTACTGTCAGGGAAACATAAGAAAAACATGGATTTGGACAGTGTTCTTGAAGATGTTCTTCGAAGTAGAGGTCAAGGAAATCTTATACTGAAGCCTAGACAAAAAGATGCACTACAGTCGATTGTTTTTAAAGGTCAGGATTGTTTAATTGTTCTTCCAACTGGCTACGGGAAGTCGTTGATCTACCAAATGCTACAATCACTGTTTGATAAAATTAGTGCGAGGAACCTTTCATCGAAGGACAAGTCAATTGTCATTGTTGTTTCTCCTTTGAATGCCTTAATTGACGACCAAATAAATAAACTTAAATCAGCTGGTGTCAATTGTACAAGTTTGCTTATTTGTGGTGACGAGGTCGATGGCGCATTCGAGGAGATTCTTGAAGACCTTCCAGCTGGAAAGTTTGAGTTTCAGTGTAAAACAGAGTGAGATCTGGGTACGAGATTACGCGGGAATAAATCAATTTGTTGCTGTTTTGGTATTTAAAACCATTTTTCTGAGTTAAAAAGACAGGATTTGGATGCCGTCAAAATTTTTATATGTTCAATATACGGACTTAGGAAGGAGAAGCCATGTTTGCTTACATAGTCCCGAGAGTTGTTTTCTACGTCAAAAAAAGTTCATTTGTCTTGGCGGCAAAAACTTAGCTTGTGAAATGATGATTAGAAGGTTCATAAGCGTCAAGAGAGAGAAAACAAGATCAGATCCTAAGGGCGCAACAGGGGCGGATCCAGGTTTTTTTTTGGAGGGGGTGCACTCGTCTCTTGCTCTACTTCAACACCAATAAACCACATAATTTTTTTTTTTTGCAGAATACCAGTTGTATTAGAAAACCGCAGGTCATCTCAGGGGGGGGGGTGCGCACCCCCTGCACCCTCCCCCTAGATCCGCCCCTGCGCAAGTCAACTGAAAGCAAAAGGAATTTTAAAAAAGCATGGAAAAAGAACCAGACCCGTCTCCAACGAAAAGAACCTGGGGACGAGGTTAAGAAAGAAAGTCCTTGGTGGATGTTATCTGCACCCGACCCTCTACCCCTTAACCCCCACCCTCTCCCTCTCTTCTCCACCAAATATGCTCCTTCTCGAACCTGCAGAACACTGAGCGCAAGGCTGGCGTGGAGCGCGAGGCACGCCTCAGTCTTACCTCCCTGTTAGTTCTCGAAAGAACAAGGGATTTTTTATTTATCTTCCAGCGAATTATCTACAGACAGAAAACTAAGTGAAAGCCAGAGATATACGTAAATATTTTCGTAAAAATTTTGGTAGCATCACGAGCGGCTCCTGGTAGCATGTGTTTACAACTTATACGAAGCCTAAACGACGATATTTCCTAGGAGAAGTGGCGGGAAAAAAAGCAAAGCGAGGAAAAAATCCCTTTTCCCTCTCCTCGTCTGTTTCTCCCTGACCTTCTTTAATCTTTTAAATTTATAATTGACATCCTTGATATAAAACAGCAGGGACAAACGCATGTGCCTGAGGTTTCGAAATTCCAGTTGCAAGGGCTCAGTGATTCACGGTGAGCAGATGACAGCAGGAGATAAAGAGATTTCACAACCAAGACTGAGCAAAGACCGTCGTACGCCAGTACAGACACTCTAGGTCCTCTAAAGCGTAATATTACGTACAAATGGTAAATATTTTTCTAAAACTTTCTTTTGAGGTGGACCATATTGCCCTTTGTCGGTCAACTAATTTAGTGCATTCAGAATGAAAACGCGCTGCCAAATTCCCAAGGGATAGAGCATTCCGTGCTTGTTCAACGGTTGGAGACTGGGTTCCAGTATTGCCAAATGTTCACGTGAAACTCACGTGGTGTTCGACAAAGTAAATTTTTGGCGCGTTCTGCGACTGTGCATCATTTTTAGACCACGTACTCCTTTTCACCGGGATTTTTCGATCAAGTTCAACTTTTGCCTGTGGATCTTCGAGGTGAGATCTGCTTTTTCAATGTACAACATTATATGCTGTTTATAACGCGATAAATTTCGTTTGTAACTTGAGTGGATGTCGGGGTTCTTTAATTGATAACTTCAGATCGACGATGTAAGCATAAAAATTTCTTGAGCTTTTGCTCAGCTGACGGTTTTTTTCTCTTGTCACCGATACAGAATTAGGAGACATGGCTGTAAATGGTATTGGACATGATTTTGCTGCTCTACATGAGTCCTTAGAAGAGAGCGATCCCGATCTTTACGAAATATTGAAAAAGGAGAAGAAACGACAAGTTTGCGGGCTGGAGCTGATCGCTTCGGAAAATTTTACTAGCAGGGCTGTTATGGAAGCTCTTGGGTCTTCTATGACAAATAAATACTCTGAGGGACAAGTTGGGCAGAGATATTACGGAGGAAATCAGTTCGTGGATGAAATGGAAAGCTTATGCAAACGCCGAGCGCTCGAAGCTTTTCGGTGAGTATAAACACGTGTAAATTTGATCACGTTGTTGAGTGATTAAATATTCTTTTTTGGCTTCGATGAGAAATGTTACTGATATAAGCTTATCTGCGATCCTTGTACAGAAATACTGCTCGAACAGAAACAAAAATCAGGAAAGCTTAACTAAATTATTGAGAAATAGGTTACCAGAAATAGTGGTGTGACGAAAATCACTCTAGCGTGATTGTGTTATGCAATGCACACGCTGATCTTTGCTGGGTGGGTTGGAGCGAGGATGGGTCACATCATCCTGCTTCTGGTGTGACCAATCCATTAAAATTAATCATTATAAAATCTATAATATTTCATTGATTAGTATCAACTGGTGAAAGTAAATGTAGAAAATCGATACTTACAATTTCAATTCCACCAAAGTGCTAGCAGTGTTTATTGGTTGTTGTCAGTTTTAAGAGTTGTCACTTACGTGCCAGTGGAATGTTAACCATCTATAATCAATCATTCTTAGAAATCCTGGAGGGACGCAATTATTGGTCATGGAAAATATTAAAGGATTATCGTAGAAAAATTAAAACATTGTTGTTGGCAAACAGAATATTAATACTTGTCGTCATCAGGCAGCTATAATCCACTATCGACTCATTTCTGATATATTTTGTACAATTTTGTCATGTTCTAAAACACCAAACCACAACCTTGCTAATGTCTCATTTATGGTTTGTTTTACTGGTATTCACATTTTATTGTTTGTATTATGAGAAAATTGTATTTTATTAATGTTGCAAATCAGTGCAAAAAGTAAAAAGCTTTTGTGCTTTCAGTACAGTTCCCATAGAAACTGTAACACTATGCAGTTGATTTGAAAGTTAGTCATTTGTAATGACGGCAAGTGAGAAAAACGATAATATTATTGTGAATGTCAGATTCTAAATACTCTATGATTCAGTTTGTTCAGTTAATGAAAATGCTCTAGTTGTTGCATATGATTATATTAGTTTATAAGTCTCTATTCAAAGGAAATTGGGCGAAAGGGGTAAATAATATTCTTTATCCTTTATAGCATGCAAAGAAAGTAGTGTCCAATAGCCTGGGGCTAGTGGATTTTGCTATCAGGCAAGCGAATTCTGTTTGTAACTTGCCCGATGGGCAAGTGATGTTTTTTGAGGAATTTGAATTTTATTTACAGAAAAACTGGGAAATCAATTATGCTTGTCAAGAAGCTCTTGGGGCTAGTTGAAATGACATCTGGGCTAGTAAATGCTAACTTCAGCTTGCCCGCCGAATGGCAAGCTTTAAAAAGGATTTTCTTTGCACTCTGCCTTTATCACCAATCATATTACATTACCTGAGTTGAAATCAAATAAGTAAATAAATAAATGTCTTTATTCTGTACCTGTGCCTATGTACACATGTTTTAGGAAGATCATAGTAATTTATAATCCAATTTTTGGATTATGCTCCCTATTTGATCGTGAAGTTATTTGCACAGTTGACATGACCTTTGAAGTATCCTGTTACTTTGACCTGCTCTAGAACCTGATTTTGGAAATTTCTAGTGTTATTTAATTTTTTCAGTCATTGGTCTAACTAGATTTTTATATCTTTTCTATGTATTTCACGGATTAAGTCAGTCCAGAGGTTACTCTTCCAGTAAAGAATATTTTTCTTTATCTTTCATAATATTAAATGTTAAAGTTCACACTGTAAAGTAATGCACAGTGAAAAAATGCACCCATGAAACGGTCACTTATAAAAGTTGCAAATTTGCACAAATTCAAAACAACTTTGTTTCCTGTCAATTGCAATGGTCACTGAACCTTTTTGGTAAGAATTAAACCTTTGCTCGTAGCCACCAAGCAAACTCTCGTGGTCCTGGGAAAATCAGTTAATATCTTACATGCAAGGAGACTTGGGTCAGAAAAACGTGTTCTAATAGAACATGCACATTAGAAATCACCCTTCAAGAAAATGTGACCACCAGGAATAATAGTTTTTCAGACATTTGGTCTTTCCTTTTACTCAACTTGTTATTCATTTCTTTACATACTGCACATAATAACCAAAGGTAAGGAATTGAGTGTAGGGAAAATTGATGCAAAGATTCTGCTTTGTGTATGTCCAAATGTGGGCCATCAGATAATGTTTTTTTGAATTTCACTTAGTATTCGTAGAAACGTTCTGGGCATATGTAATAACAACTTGGAGATTAGAATGTGGGCTTAGATACATTTTCCACAAATAAAATGGCAAGTGCAGAACAGACATAAAAAACTTTAATCATGTGCTCTCTAGAGAGCTATTTTTAAATTCTATAATGCATATGGATATTTTTGTTTGTGAAGAGGTTTCACTTGAATGGTCACAACATGGAATTTCATGCAGACTCAAAAATTAGAAACATCTTACACCCATGATTCACTTAGCAGGTAAAATGTTGAATATGACCGGCCATGAATACGACCAGATTAAATGGTACAATAGTGTTCGTGTTTTGCTTTGAGTACTTATTAGAGCATATTCACCAATCAATGAAATATTGTGTGTTTGCATTAACAACTTCTGTTTTTATTGTAGACTTGATCCAGAAAAGTGGGGTGTGAATGTGCAACCTTACTCTGGTTCCCCTGCAAACTTTGCAGGCTACACTGGGCTTCTTTCTCCACATGATCGCATTATGGGTCTTGATCTGCCAGATGGAGGTCATTTGACGCATGGGTTCATGACAGAGAAAAAGCGCATCTCGGCAACATCTATTTTCTTCGAATCAATGCCTTACAAGACAAACCCAGAAACTGGCTTAATAGACTACGACAAGCTTGCTGAAACTGCCAGATTGTTCCGCCCCAAACTTATTATCGCAGGAATCAGTGCTTATCCACGTCATTTGGATTATGCCAAATTCAGGGCTATAAGCGATGAAGTTGGGGCAATTCTCATGGCTGATATGGCCCATATCAGTGGTCTAGTGGCAGGCGGTGTTGTACCAACCCCATTTGAGCATTGCGATATTGTAACAACAACAACACACAAGTCTCTTCGCGGGCCACGTTCAGGGGTTATATTCTATCGCAAGGGAATCAAGGGTTACAAGAAGAATGGAGATCCCATCAAATATGACTATGGAAACAAAATTGACTTTGCACTCTTCCCTGGTCTCCAAGGTGGCCCCCACAATAACACCATCGCTGCACTATGTACAGCTTTGAAGCAAGCCAATACTCCAGAATTCAAAACATATGCCCAGCAGATACTGGATAACTGTAAAGCCATGGCCAAGGTGTTTTTGGAGCGTGGCTACAAGCTGGTGTCAGAAGGATCAGATAATCACCTGGTTTTAATGGACCTGCGTCCTCTGGGATTTGGTGGAGCCTTGGGAGAAAAGGTCTTGGAAGAAGTTTCTATCACTGGTAAGTCTTTTTTACATCTTCTTTTGTAAACTGCCACTTAGAAGCCCCTCCACTTTTAAGCCTGCCCAGTTATAGGCTTATCTACTTATGAGAAAAAAACACATCCGATTATAAGTCTCCCTGGATATCAGCGCCTCTGTTTTTAAGCCCTTCTAAAACCCCTTATGAAGATCTATAAGCCTAGGGCTTACACAAATGTATAAATGACAGTTTAAAGTATTTATAGCATTTGGTAGTATCGAAGTTGAAGTGTCCATAACAAAAAACCTATTATTATGTAAACTGTTGTTGTTGTTTCATCTTTAATAAACTGAAAGAACACACAATAACTTGTCCAAAAAAATTGTGTGTTTTGAGCAAAATGAGATTTTTTAAGAAATTTTTGAGATGTAATTTCTTTGGCACGCCTGTTCTTTTGATGGCAGGATTGAGACAGAGAGGCTCATATGTAATGTCCTGAGATGTTCATATATTCAGGAACTGAAATATGGACTTTCATCCATGCTCATCCTATGTTATTCCTTTCTCAAGGTCGCTAATGTTGTTGCATCTAACTGCTATGCATCTTACTGGCATCTTTTACCGCCACACATCTCTCTTGGGATTGTTCAACTCGAGGAGATTGCTAAACTTCAAGTTTAATGAGAAAATTTCTCATTGAAGTCCGAGAAAATGAATGTCAAATTTCACAAGAACTGTGATTACACAGGTAAAATTCTGAAAATTTCATGTGTGAGATGTTGTTTTGTAAAATTTGACATTCATTTTCGCAGGCTCTTATAAGAATTTTTTTGGTGTTACTACAGATGATTTATTACATCTTTAGTCCTTGAAAAATGTAAGAAAGAATACAATATTCTTTAAATTATTCTGGTACAAGATTTTTGTCCGCTGAAAATAAACATTACGCAGTGTCCTGGTGGATTCCGTCTTAAGACTTTATTTTTATCCTTAGTGAATCTTCCTTTGCTCTTGTGACCTTTTTTAGTACATGTTGTTGTGTTTTACATAAATGCATAATTCACTTTTCTTGTATTTCGTTACAGTCAACAAAAATACATGCCCTGGTGATAAAAGTGCCCTGCGTCCAGGTGGACTGCGTATCGGAGCCCCTGCGCTAACCACACGCATGCTAAAGGAGAAGGATTTTGAGCAAGTTGCAGACTTCATTGACCGTGGAATCAAACTGGGTTTGGAAGTACAGAAAATCAGTGGCACAGATCAAAAGAAATTTGAGGAAGTGTTGCTTGGAGACCAGTTCAAAGGAAAGGTAGAGGAATTGAAAAAGGAGGTTGAAGAGTTTTCTGTCAAATTTCCCATGCCAGGGTGTGGTCTTATTTAAATACATGAACAAACGTTATGTTTCTTTTTGTGCCTAATGACATACTTGAGATGGATATTTTGATAGGCTAGAAAGACAGGGATGATGATGTGAAAGTTCCTTGCTGTTATTTTATTAGGAGCATTCTGCTGACCCTGATAAATATTTTGTTTCCAAGAGCTCAAAAAATATTGTATAACCTAATATGAAAAGTGCAAACAAAAGCCATTAGCCAGTGATTTCCTTAAGTTATGACTTTCTTCAAGAGTGTAACCAACTTGTATCTTGTTAGATACGGTAGAATACATTCAAGAACAAATTAGAAATATAAGTCAATTAAGGTTAAGCGAACCAAGTCACTCGATAACACGAAGTTGTTTCTGCATTATGAACTAATAAAAGTACCCAGTTATTGGGTATAATCAAGATCGGTACATTGACTGTCTGATTTTATTGATGGTATGAACAGAGTTGAGGAAGAAAAGAACCCATTCAACTGCACCCGTGATGATTCTTGCTATTCAGTGGCAAGCACACCAGGGCTGGTAATAACCAATCACATTTAAGTGCAACTGTTCTATTACCTCGCCCGTGATGATGCGTACCATCCAATTACACTCTAATCAGGGCTGGAAATAACCAATCACATTCAAGTGCAAACTGTTCTATTATCACCGGCGCCCATGATGATACAACCTCTCCAAAGACACTCAAATCACGGCTGGTAATTACAAACTAAATTCAAAGCTTGGTAACATTGTTGTAGAAACTGAAAAAAGTTTGCTTCTACATTTAAGACGTCTCACCGGAAAGACAGCTATTGGGCGGGCTTCTTTTTTTCAACAAATGGGATATTGGGAAACAGTCAACGTCCGGTTGCCACCCTTGCCTTTACTTGCCGTACGTGCAAGTTCTAGTTTGAGTAACCTGAGATTAGGCCCAATTTTAGCGGTTCTCATACATTCTATCTAACGGCTACCGCTTCGCCATGCCCGTCGGAATGTAATTTTCAAAGCGAAACGAAAATAGAGCCTGATCTCAGGTTATAGTTTGAGGGGCCCAGTGGTTCAAAAGGTAGTTAGCGCTATCCATCCACTGGATTATTGGATTCCCTAATACTTAACCGCTGGATAGTGATTTATCCGTTGGATAGTGCTATCCGACGTTTGAATAACGTGAGGCAAGTGGTCAACCCTTCACAGCTTGATAAATAACTACAATACTCGTCAAAAATCTTGAAACACTTGGGTGATTTTCCCCTTCCCTAATGTTGTTGTATTACAGTCGTCTCAGTGCTCCAAAATACGCGTGGCTCAACATTGGGGAAGGAGAGGGCACGTTTCAGTGAGAGCAAGGGTGAGAAGAGAGAATGTCAGACGTTTTCGAAAAAATTAGAGAAAAACGGTTTCTGTTTCAACGATTTGTGACGATTATTGTAGCTTCATTGGGGGAAATGAGCGTAAAGAAAAGTTTTTCTCCGCCTCATCTCCACTCCTTTTTAAAGCTGCGCTGCCGTGTCCCCCGAAACCACTAAGCACCTAATTTCTCCTATCAATGCCACTTCATATTTAAACATTTGGGTCACGATAATCCAGTGAAGAAATAAGGATGACGATGTTCTCAATATTACTAAAAAAATGAACTATAAAGAAGGCAGTTGCATTGAGTGGGAATAAACCACAGGAACTAGAACAACGTAACTCTACCATCCACTTCAAAACCGTGACAACCTTGTCCATCAATGCTTCTCTGGAAGTATTTTATGAAATGAATTTTGTCCTTCTATCAGCTGCACTTGGATTACGAATGTTAAAAGAGACCCATATTATGAGACGTTTTGCAACGTTCACAGTTATCTTGAGATTGAAAGAAATTTTCTATTTCGGTAAGACCCCCAAAAATAACTTCAATAAGTACTGAGTGAATAGTAAAACGGATTTGTTCAGAATGGAGGGCGTAACTGGAACTGTTAACTTGAGTTCCTCGCCCCTCACAGGCTTTTGCAACCAATTCAAGCATGGCAAGTTCCGATTCAATGGCGTAACCAAAACGTGAACGAACTGAGGTGCTGTAAGTACTGAACGATACTTACTGAACTCTCAGTCGGATCTACTAGTCCGGTTTCAACTTACAAAACTTTCGGGATTTCATGTTTTACAGCTAACTTGACTGAGTTTTAAAAAAATTCAAATCGAGATTTCTCACACCTCACAGCGCTTTTCCAAGGAAACGCCAGGTGTAATTTATGGTGAAACGGTTCAGCAATATACTTAATTGAACACTGAATGGTTGTGACATATCCATTGGGCGGCTATACCGTAACGGAATATTCTCGAGTATCTGATCACGTACTGATTGAAGCGAGACCGTGGGGGCAACTGGGAGGCTGGGATTGTGACCCCTCAGCTAATTAATGGACTAAGACAACGTTTTGTTATGTGGTACTAACTCGTCAATCTGCAGATTAAATCCTACACGGTCCTTCAAAACAAAAGAACTATACTTTAAGAAAAGTGCTTTTAACATTTTGGCGGAAAACTCATTCGTGACCATTCGTGACTGCTGAGTTGTGTTTTTTTCCTGTGACACTGTTTCATGATTTTGCTGTCAAAAAGAAGGTTCTGTAATTTTCCAAATTACTGTCCAAATCCTCCAGCATTTTCTGAAGTGTGTGGCCTATTCAGAAGAAAGAAGGTTCTACTGAGAGCTGACTTTAATGACGCCATTTTTATTTTTTTACACGGCGGAAACGTTTAAAGGCTATTCAAATGAAAAGCCCTTTTGAGAGCAGTAATCTACTGCCCTGAACGGGGTGGCTCCAACTTTTAGGGACCATGAAATTCATACAAACAGCTACACAAGCAGTCCACCCTTCAAATTCAACGAGCCATCGACACCGGTTGTGTCTTTATGTTCAAACAGGACAATAGAGGGGTTTTTACATGACACTCAAACATTTTACTTGATTGCTTACCTTCTGAATCAGTCTCCCGCACCTTTCACTGCCGCCTTTTGTTACTCGTGTAATTATGTTTTTCAGTGATAAGCAGTTTTAGCCAATCTATAACTGAATTACAAACATGACCCGAATTTCTCTCCTGCCAAAATACAAAAAAAATCTCAATTCCGTAAGATCTGGACCCTTTGTTCTACAAATAGTATTGTTTTTAATGGTTTTTCATTAAAAAAAAGTTTGTGGTGGCCGACAAAGCCATGAATGTACAGGCCAAAACCGCCATCCTGCTGGGAAGAACGTGGAATAATGGCGGGTTCATAAATATTCCTAAACCTGTAAAACTAATTGATTATTGAAGAATAAAGGAAGTCTTTAGACTTGCCATTGTTTCAGCGATTCCTCTAGTACAACTGAATCGGCATGTCTCTTAGTATACAAGTATGTCGGTTTGCCGGGTTCTTGAACACTAGTTCTGTCTAACAACTGTTGCGATGAATTTTTGTTTCTTACTATGTCCGACACTGATTTTCGGTTTATTTTTGTTGGTTAGATGCGAACAAATAGCTTCTATAAACCAGTGGATGTGTGATTATGCGGCCGATAACATGCGAGCAAAAACTGGATCGTCAGGCAGGTTAGATCACATGAAGGGTGCGCTTTCGTCGTAAACGGAAAAAGAGCGAAATGACTTCATTGAGCGTCATTTCACACGTGATTGCTTGTCAGTGCCTCGGCACTGAACGCTTTCTAAACTAATTACCGCCAGCATTCCAGACAGCCTAGCTACGTTTTAAGGAATTTACAATGACGCAATTGGGCGATTAAGCCCACCAGTCGGATCAAAAATGAATTACCGGCAAAAGGTATGTCTAAAAGAACTGCAACAACACAGTTTTCATTTTTCCAGCGTGTGAAAAGCAAGTCAAATCAAGTCATGGCTCTTAAGCTCCTAAACCAAATGCTTAAATTGTGGTAATACAGCTTCTATTTAACGAGTTTACGATACAATAAAGTTTTAATTAAATGTAATACGAGTTATATTTCTTATTTGGTGGCGCTTTTATTATGTAAAATAGCAAAATCTGGCAATACCTAATCCATGAACTATCTTCCAGTGGAAATGACGATTTGACGTTCTCGTTATGCTAAGTAGAAGTTTACGAAATACAAATTTTACACAATTGAAAAAAGAAGAAAATAAACGATATCATTAAGTGATGGTCAGGAGCGACTTCTCTTAGTTCAATAACTGAAAAAGAAGTTCTATCTGCTTACTTAGGCTAATCCACTTTTTCACCGGACAATATTGCTGAAATGAACTCACTGGTTCTACTCGGAAGAAAATGTTTAAAGCACAACTTTGCCAGTTCGCTGTTTTAATTTAGAATGAATATGAACAGTTGCATAAAATACATACGCCGTCGTGGTTCCGCTGTTTCAATTCATCAAATATTCAAAGACGTTTATCTTTACATTACGCTTAATTGCTTCCCAAATATACAGTTTTGCGTAGTTCCTTGTGAACAATACAGCTGACCAACGCGGCTATCAGTTAATTGAACTCAGACGTCAATTAAAAATACCCTTAAAAGATAAAAATGTTTGTGCTACTTAAGATGAAATGCATTTTATAGCAGTTATTCATCAAAACGCGTAATTCAACAATTTTTTTGCCTATTCTGCGGTTGTCTTCTCTTTCAATTCTTTTAATAAGAGTTACAGCCACTGTGCTATCTTACTAGTTTTCGTATCGTTATATTATGGTGAGTAATAAAACAAAAAGTTTTTTTCCGAGATAAACTAGAGTCACAGGTATTTATAGAAACGCTCCTGGTGTGTAATCGCTACATTCAGCTTTACAGCTGGGTGAATGAAGAACACGTAAAAGTGTTCTTCTTGAAAAAAATAAACTTTGTGAACTCGGCCTTAAAAGTAGTCGTCCTAACCTATAGCGCATGTTGTAAAATAGCGACTTTGCAATGTGGATGCTGAAATGAACGACCGAACTGGCCGAATTGCTTTTACTCTCCGGAACGTTTGCATTAATAACTCGAGCCGGCTTGGAAGCATGGAGAAACGAGTTTTAAAGTTTTCCGGCAATTTCACTTTAAAGTATGTTCGATAAAATGATTTTCCCACAAGATACTGTTTGTTACGTACTTCGAACTCATAGCAATTATCTCGGCCAGCATCAAGTAGAGGCCTTGATTAATTAAGGATTAGTAAAGGAGGATAGGAAAAGGAAGAGTAAAAGCTTGAAGCAGTTGTTTAGAAAATAAGTGTACCTTAAATAATACTCTTTTTGACTTCGTTTGTACTAAGTGTTTGGCAATCTGATGTTGTAAAACTATAATGTTCAAAGGCTTACAAATCTTTTAATCGTATAGAACAATTAGGACGAAAGTACAATAGTGACTTCCCTTAGTGGCCGTGATTGGCCCTTTAAGTAATTATCAGTTGAAACTTATTTTTTGTCCGATTTCAAACCGCTTCATAAGCAGTATTTGTAACATAGTATTGGACATAGTATTTGACTATTAAACACCCGGCACGTCGCGGAGTGTTATTCAAACACAAGCAATCATTTCGATTCCTGGTAACTAGTCTTATAAGCAATAAAACTAACGTTAGTTAACTGATCATTCCAGTTCCCTTTAATAATCCATTTCAAATCAGAACCATTAGTCTTTCACGCCGCGAGCTGAGGATGGATCGAGTGTTAAAAAGGTGAGGTTACCAAAGTAATAACAAACATAAGCTGAGACAATCAATATGTTATTTTATTGCTGAATTATTGTTCTGTGAAAAATAAAACTATTTCAGATGGATGTTTGAGACTTAGGCGTGTCTGTAGTTTGCATAGCATTTCCGGCTATATAAACTCCAATCCGTAGTTTGAATTGTGTTCTCGGATGACTGAACTTCAAGCTGCCGTGGAAAGTTTGCAACAAGGGCCTTGACGCATGCGTGGGAAAATATTTATATCGCGCTTTGGGCGACTTGTCGATCAAACGATATTTACTCAAGTGAGATCAAATTTCAGCAAGTTTGAGATTACATTTCAGAGGAAATGGCCTTCAGTGTGGGTCAGAAATGTGGACATCTCGTAGCCATTGCCTTCGTTCTGCTGTATGTAACTTCGACAGCTGTGTCGTGTCCACAAGGCTGTGAATGCTTTCACGACAGAGATGGTTATAACGCGGAGTGTTATGGTCAAAGCAGCTTGACGAGTATTCCGGCCGGTCTACCTGCTGATACAGCCATACTGTGAGTTAGTTTACTATTTGGTTTATTTGTTCTTCGGGGTTTTGAAAACCGTCTTGTTATCAGCTCATAAAATTTTGGCACCTATCACTGAGGGTTTGTTATTTCTCAACATTATGGCGAGGAGCGAAGATAGCGAGAGTTTGTCAAATCCCGCAAAGCTATAAATACAATTACCAACCAAAGCTTAGTCAATTTCGAAGCTCTTCACAGCGCTGACTTGTCAAAAGAGATAAAAGTGACATTTACGTTTCGGTTTAAGACTAGGGCAGTGAATATGTCTTAACAGTTGAAAGTGAAAATTTTGTCAACTGACTAAGGAGACGTTCTTTGCGTTCAAGCTGTGTTCAAATAATTTTCTTAACACTTGTCGGGCATACTTACATGTGACTTGCAATGGACTGAAAAGAATTCCGAAAGTAAGCAAAGCATATTCAGTATTCATTTCTCTTGGTAAACATATACCCGTCTTGACAGATTATTAATCTTTTGTCAGAAACCGATTTTTCCCAGTTTTTCGCGAGAGGTAATTAAAATTAACAAGGGCGACATTCATCACTATACCGGTTGCTTACGAGATGCTCAGAGAGACTTGAAAGCCGAAAGTATGATGAATGAGATCGATGCCTTAAAAAAATTTGAAGTTATCTTAGTTTCCGCTTCTTTTTATATGCTTAATATTTGTTGAATGTTGTGAAACGCCAACAAAGTACAAAATACTAAACACGTTTTTTTGAAATTCATGAATGTAATAGTTAAGATTTTTAAGGAGTCAAGAGTACGTATTGGTCTTCTATTGAATTTTAACCATATAAAGCTGTTTAAAAAAGAACCTCCATAATAAACGTGGAGTTTTTAAGACACTAACTATATTTTTTTCAACTTTTTAGGACGCTGTACAACACAGGACTCTCGAATATTCCCCAAAATGCCTTCCAGGGATTGTCTAATCTGAAAGAAATGTGAGTAATCTGAATGTAAATTTTCTTGTATTGTTGTGCAACACCTTTTGCTTGATTACCTGTGCATATTATTACGGAAACCACTTATTTGAACGAGAACAAAACAGCTTCCTCGGCCAAGAGAAATGAAACACACAACCGTACAAAGTTTTTACAAAACCAAGGAAAATATAATTGTATTACGCCGGAAATCGGCATTTTGGGATGGATAATCCGCAAAGCCAGCAGCAGATATATAACGGACGGCATTTATTGCATTTTTTGTTAACATCCTAGGGCTAGAATAATGGGCACATTTTATGTTATTTTCGACCTATTCTGCCAATGTTATCTTTCATTATAGTGAATAGACGAAGCAAAGAGTCCAAATGAATTGTTGTTTCCGGTTTTGTATAGATTTTCTTCCGTAAAATGACGCTTGAAGCATTGAAGCTCAGTTTTATCCGCTTGAAGTCACTAGTTATTCCAGTAAAAACGAGGCCCTTAACTTAACTTAAAAAGGCTTTTAAAGAGTCTCAGCGCACAGACCTGGAAATCTTTATTTGAGGTAAAAGGCAGTATATCGCGTGAATCTTCCAAGTACTTTTTACATTTAATTTCTGCTTATCTGTTTTCTGAGGTCTGTGGGATGTTAACAGGGAAGCCAATACAAGTGGAATGAAATTGCTTCTTGGCAGACGGCCGTATTAATAAAATTCAAAACAAATCTCACTTTTACTTGGTGCAGTCCACCAAATGCGATCGATCTACAAAAAAACTCTAGCCAAGACTTTAATAACAGTGAAACGCCTTACATCGAAGAAACGAGGAGACAACTTTTGCCTTCGCAATTCAGTTTATACTGTACCATTAAGTTAACCGTCTTTATCATGTTTGACCAACTTTATAAGTCAACAAAGACTGTTACGTCTATCTCTAAAATCCAATCTTCCAGCTGATAACTAGTTTAGTGAAAACACTTCGTTTGTTTGACATATAGCCAAAGCTGTGTACCATCATGTTATTGTATTTTCCTCCTTGTGGAATGCCATTAAAACTAAAACCGTAAACAAATGGTAAGTGCACCCGTAGCTTGACTAGCTTTTAGCACTTCATTCAGCGCAATTTTCGGACAATCTGTCGGCGTTTATGAAGTTTCGCGAACATTTATTTGCTCTCTGCGCTTCTTAATGAAAAATATGCCATAAGGATTAGAACTCCATTAAGCCGGCATGCCTTAAGGCTGGGACGCAGTCAGTTGAATACTTGGAAGAGAGTGAAAGTTAGACAATATTTGTAAAGCGAAATAAACTGTCAGATTTCTTCCATGAAAACCTATATCGGTGAAAATGTGTGTAAACATGGGATAAAAGCGCCTCATGTCAGGTAAAACATCTTTATTATGCCAAGAAAAAAGGTTGCTTGGACAGGTCAAACTTGAACAATAAACTATTAAACTCAGGAATGTACACGCTAAAAAGTGAAGCGATATTAAAACAGAGGCTTCAGGGGGGTTCGATTTTAGAATTCTTTGAGCACTTCATATCTCTTTTCAGAGTCGTACACATCTATGTTTATCAGTACATTCTAGCAAGACGAGCTCTTAATCAAGCGAGCAAATATCTTTACCATATATACGCATTTACCACTTAAGGACGGAAATTGGCTGTCTTGTAGATATGCAAATGAAGAAGTTTGGTTTAGGAACCCTTCCACAAGAATGTCAGCCAACAGATTATGGTCATTACTGTCTTTTATATTGGTCTATCTACAAATCGAATGTAAAAAATTAACACGACAATTACCCAGTACTATTGCATATAACTCTCCCCAATATCGAGATCAATCTTTATCAATCTTTTATTTTGCTCTGTATTATATGTTACAACGAAAATTGAAACCATTTCCAGTATTCTAGAAAGATAGAATTCTCATTGATGCATATGTGATTAAACGATACATTCGATATTGATTGGTGTGTTTTAATTTCAGTTTAAAACTTAATCGCAAAGGATATTAGACCTTGTAGAAAACAAATTTTAAAAAACTGTAAAGACATTTCCAGAATCTCTTGTCTCTCTTCCTTTAATATTTGTCCCAGTTTGTCCAATTTTGTACATACTTAAAGAAAACATTTTTAATGAACTTTATCTGAACTCTAAAAATACGATGTTTCCTGACAACTAAAATGCAACATTTGACAAAGTCGTTGCCATCTAGTGGATTGAAAATAAAACATATTAATTTCCCACTCCATCTTAATCAGAGAAAACGCTATTCGAAAGACTTTTTTTTGAAAGGCTCCTTCTCAAAACGCTTTGGTTTGGAGGCAAGCCGAAATCTTTGTACTGAAGTTCCTTGGACTGGTGGTCATCGAGATCTGCTACAATAAAAAGCAGTTTTGAATACTTTACCGAAAGCTGGGAACGTTAGATGACCACACAACTCGCGATGAGCGTTTTCACAATGTCTGATGACTATGTAGAGAACAAAACATGTAATTAAGATGTGTGGAATTTTTGGGATATCAAACTTTGCTTGTATTGAAAATGCGAGGTCTGCCTAATGCATTTACTTAAGTTTCTAACTGTAACGAACACACAGTTTTCAATAAAGATTTTGAAAACTTCATGTCAACCTGTATGACTATTATAAATACGATAACGTAATTTTGCTCGACAATTAGAGAAAATGAACGAAAGAAGAGTTTCGGCTGAACTGAGAAAGGTTTTTTTGTGTGAGAATTTCAACAAATTCAACTGATACAAATGTACAGAGCTTTGCGCTTCATTAGAAATTTTGTTGTGTTTCGCATATGGTGTCTGAAGATGTGAATTAAGGTTTGAAGTTTTCTTACATCAAAACAATCAGTAAACCTCTTCTTCAAACCTTTTTACGTGCAAGAGGATCCGAATCTATATTCGCTTCAGTCATGTCCATCCTAAACGTTCATTAACTCTGGAGCCAATAGACTATTAAAAAAACATCGAAAATTTTGAAAGCTTTTTGAAAACTTTTTAAAATAATCCAGTTTGAGGTTATGTTCATGATGACACCGTAATAGGCACAGTTGGTTGGTGCGCGACCTTCTGTGCGGGAAGTCCCGAGTCCTATTAATCCCCAGGGTGGTGACCTCGAATCCTTGTTTCGTCTGCAGTGCTTCTTTCCTTTCCATGTAACTTTAAGTAGGTTAAGATACTCGTAAAACGGTGCACTGGTGGAGAGCGCAACGTTCAAGCCATAGGTTTGTCAGTCAAATGACTGACTGTTCTGTTACGAGTTTAATACCAACTTAGAACCTGTGACAGGCTCCATCTGTTTTGCGTTTAAAAGTTACGCGTAGGAGACGGTTGTTTTCTTCGAATAGATCCGTTAATTTACTAGCGTTATAGTGCTAAATATGTTTTGTGGATTGTATACAGAATGAAACCCGAGGGAAACTTTTTCGAGAGCCACCTTCGGCCGTTGAGCTGAAAGGGATGTTTGCAGGGTTAACCGTGATGCCGTGTTTTAAATTTCTATTTACAGAAACATACGATCAAATCCTTTAACAAGCATAGCTGGGAATGCGTTCCAGGGCGTCACAAAACTCAACAAACTGTAAGTAGTTGTATTCATGTCTAACTTCAGTTTCTCATGCACCAAAGTTTTAATTTGTTAAACGTCTTAAACCTATAACCACATTCTTTTGTAGAATTTTGTCTCTGAACAATTTAAGTCAAGTTACTGCAGACTCTTTCAAAGGACTAACAGCAGTTACAAAAATGTAAGTAATCTTCGATTCCCTGTCCATAACAGTAAAGTTTTTGCCTTAGTGGTGACATCTATTTTACTTTTGTGTTAACACAAGTGACTCACGATCAATCAAAAGGGAAGTTTGTCTTTTGTGTACAGCTTTTAGGGTCAAGCATGCATATATGCCTTTTGTTTCACCGACCAAGTTAGCTTTAATGCAACGCTTTTGCATTTTACTTTCTTTCAACGCTGGGCCACATTGAAGTCAACATTTTTTATCCTTAATTTTTACACACTAAAAATAAAGCTTCTTTTTGTAGCGTTTGTGTGGGCCACCCGCTTAGGCTGACCATGGGCGAACACCAATTTGAGAAATTGCACTGATGTCTGTTTATTAAAAGAAAAATCGCGCCTAACTTCTTTGTGCGAAATAGGTTAAATCCGTGCTGCCGGGAGGGTTCACGTTATCGGACTAAAAATTCTGGTCATGGCCTTTTAGTTATAGCTTTTTTGAAATCAGTATAATCTATCTTAACCTTAACAGTGAAATGACTAAAAATGGTGATCACACCTTTGGTACAGCGCGATGCGCCGTTACTAAACGTTCATAGCCAATTTAAGGTATTTTTTTTTCTGTTTGATTTAGGTATTTAGAGTACAACGATTTTGCCATGTTTCCAGATGGATTGTTTGAAGACACTTTTTCTCTTCAATATCTGTAAGTCCAACTACGAAGACCTAACAACCGCGATAAAAAATATGTTAAAGAGAACATCGAGGAAAATTGTCAAAAAGAAATTAGAAATTTTACGTATCATTGTATCTATACCACTTCTTTACACTCCGATTCAAGAGTGGAGGTATAAAATTTGTGACAATGAAATAAAGGCTACAAAGCAATGCCCTTAGTTGCTTCATGTTATTTACAAGAAGGTTTCTTAATCATCGTTTTTCTTCCTATTTGTAGGAAAATTGGTAACAACAAGCTTACTGCAATATCTGCCAACCTCTTCAACAAACTTAGCAATTTGGTGCTATTGTAAGTAGTCCTGTATTGGAGTGGAAAATCATTAAATCAGTAATTTAATTTTTTTATTTTTGTCGACTGCTAGATAATGATTTATTCGCTTAATAAGTATGGCTAAGTAGAAGATGAACATAACGAACGCTTTTTACTAACAAATCGAATTATGTCTTCATTTAGGTCTTTATCGAACAACAAGATATCAAGCGTCAGCCCAGAGTCTTTCTCTTCTATGAAGTCAAATCTTACACACTTGTAAGTATCAGGTCAATTCTGTTTTTTGCATTTTTTTTTTACTCAAATTAGAGTACCACGAGTTGAATTTTCCCTTGGAACTGTTTTTATTTTTCAGGAATCTAGACAACAATCATTTAAACAAATTTCCAGTAGAATCGCTTGAGAATTTAACCGCCTTGTCTGAGCTGTAAGTAAAGTTTTAAAGCTGGGGCTTTTCTTGTATCATTTTATCCCTCAATAAAGACGATTCTAGTTGTCTAGTTGTTTATTTCTTAAAAAGAGTATCATTTGCCAGCATTAAATAAATCACTGCTTAATCCACAAGTTATGGTCGCGAGAATAAGGAAAATATAATCACCGCAGTCAACAGTGTCTCATTCTAAATTTCTGAATTTTAATCTAAGAGCCATCGCTATTAAAAATCAGTTTCAGTTCTGGACAGTGCTTCAGGCACCTGGAGCAAATTTAACAAATTTGCCGACAAAGTTTTAAAGTAGTTTATGTAGCACTAACTCTTTGTGTCATTCGTCATGGCATCTTAAGCTTTCCGATTGTATCGAAGTCTTCGCACTTAGGGGGAAAGGATTTTAAAATAACTTTGTGATCAGTCTGTATTTCTGTGTACCTAACTCCTCTTACACGTGAGAGTTCTAGGGCGCCCCTAATGAGCGGAAACGATAAAAAAGCCCATATTCTAATGCCAGAATTTTGTATAGACTTATAAAGATTGTTGAAGTAATTTTGTTAATTCAGGCAGCGTGAAGCCTTAAACGAAAGACAGTGATCTATATAAACGTCAGTTTCTCCAGACGAACTATATCACATTTTTATTGGGAAATTGTTGTCGCCATTTTTCCACAGCCGTTTGGCTTCCAATGCGTTCTATACCATTCCACAAGAAGCCGTAACAATATTTGACAAGATAGCTGCCAAAGTTCGTGGGCATATGTGAGTATTGTAATTGTTATGAAATGAGAATACGGCATTTCTTCTTGTAATCAAAGCTCATTTAGTAATCCGTCAATACAACTGTATTAAGCGTCAATAAAAGCACTCTGAAAAATAAAATTCAGAAGCACTCTTTTTGAAATGGAACTCCCTAGAGTTGATAAGTTGAGAGGTCTTCTAGCCACTTAGGTTCCAAAACTGAATAGGAAGAAAAAACAAGTCATTAGAGGCCCATAGCATTCGAATTCACAAAAGTTCCTCTCACTGAATAGTCCATTTTCGAGTTCGCTGTGACCGCTGAATGAAAGAAGTGAAGACGCATTTTTTACAGCCTTAGCCTCCATCTGAAGTAATATATTCACAAATTCCAATGAGAAAAAGACCTGTTTATTACTCTGTCTATTGTGTATATTCAAATTTCAAACACTTACTTGCCAGAATTTCTGAATATTTTACTTTACGTCGAGGCTAACCCTGTATGAATGTGTCCTAAATGTTTGTATTCAGCGGTAATTTTTAATTCGAAACGGGACTATTCAAACTAACCTTTTTTGTTCCCGTTTTTTTTTTTTTTTTCAGTTGGATTGCCAACAACCCCTTGGTGTGCACTAAGGAACTTAAATGGCTCCAAACGTGGATGATAAGCCATCCTACAGTTGTTAAAGATTTGAACGAAGTCACATGTCAAACACCTTACGGGAACCGTAGTAAAGTATTTGATTTCGACTTCAGTATTTTGGGTAAGCACTCTTGCACTTAAGGGTTTTCATTGATTTGCGTTAAAATGGAGTATAGCCAGTGTTTAACAAAGCTACGTTTCTCAGACAAAGCTCGATTTCCGCCGGTTTCCCGGGCCCAGTCTTGCCGAATGTTCCACCCACCTAAGGGAAGGAGCGCCCCGAGCAGCGGCTGGTAAACGAGCCCAGTGGCAGGCGTGTCCATAGTAAATTCGCGTATGCTGTGCTTTCGTTTTCCACCGTTTTAGACTAGCAGTCTTCTCTTAACCAATCAAAAATGAAATGCAGGGTGATTTGGCCCTAATAAAGTATGACACAGGGATAGCCATCCTTTAATGCATCACAGCCAATCATGAGAAATATCCCTAGTTAAGTTCTGTTTTATCATCCAGAGTTGCAAGCTCGAGGCATGTTCAGCACGGTTACTGAACATGTGACTTCCTCCGTTAAACAAACGAAAAACAGCACTAACGTCTTTTTAATGCTGGAAATTCACAGATGGCTGGACAATAGGAAACTTAAAGAGTTCTACGATGTCATCAACTGTAACATCAACTACGCCACCAACTTCCACAGCAGAAACAACACCACCGTCTACATCATACACAACAACAGTGCCTACTACGGCAACCACGTCATCGTCTTCACCACCAAGTACCACAGATGTACCTACAACAATTACGTCAGTGCCTACGTCATCAAGTACAGAATCTACTACGTCATCATCTACATCACCAAATACCACAGAAGCAACTACAGTTGCCACAACAGCATCTACGTCATCAACTGCAGAATCCACTACGTCATCATCTGCACCAACAACAACCACAGAAACAACTACAGTTGCTACAACAGCATCTACGTCATCAGAGTCCGCCACGTCATCGTCTACATTATCAAATACTACAGAAACTCCGACTACCACGGCGGCGAAAACGGCATCCAGCACGATATTCATGACATTCTCTACGCCATCAGGATCAGATACTAGTTCCACAGCCACAGAGAAAAAATCGGCGACAGCGTCCAATTCAACGCCTGTTTCAAAAACGCCAAATACAAACACTAATGGTCTTTCCAAGAGTTTTAGCCCTGGATCAGATATTGGTACTTCAACAGAATCATTTGAAAAAGGTAAAAAGGCAGTTATTTAAGACTAAAGAAGTTTGTAATATCGGGTGCAAAATATCAACTCGCGGCCTATCATCAGATATTGGAACACGGAACAAAGGAAGCTTGAGTGGCTTACAAGTCAAATCAAACAACATATGTCCTACGTATGAAAAAGGGAAAGATAGATTCGGGTGTCAATCGAGCCAATCGTGATATGTTCTTGTATTATTTTAATTGGCAAGAGCAGAATTTCTTGTAGGTTTTTTACCATGATTTCTTTCTTTCTCTGTTTTTTTTACTGTTCTGATCAATACAAAATGGGAACTGAAAATATGATACAACCCTTTTCACTTACTTTTAACTTACAATTTAGCATTTTCCCTTATTTTTATTTGTTTATTTTTCAGAAAGAGCAGAATCTAACGAAAAGTTCTTCTCTAGAAATCAAGAAGTCATTCTCTCTGCTTCGCTTGTTGGCTTTTGTCTAATTGTTATCGTGGGTGTTATGCTTTATTTGTTCAAAAGAAGGGTACTGTTACGACAAAAAACGTAAGTTATTTTAGCTGATATTCTACTGTAAGGGCCGATTCAGAAGCCGTACTATCGAATTCAAATTTAGCCAGGTCCAGGGGCGGATCTAGGGGAAGGGTGCAGGGGGTGCGCACCCCCCCTCCCTTAGATGACCTGCGGTTTTCTAATACAACTGGTATTCTGAAAAAAAAAACTGTGGTTTATTGGTGTTGAAGTAGAGCAAGAGACGAGTGCACCCCCTCCTCAAAAAAATCCTGGATCCGCCCCTGAGGTCGCAGGTACTAGTCAGGCGCCGATCTTTCATTCCACACGAAGTAAATTCAAACTGGAAAATCGCACATTTTGGTAAGGTTACCGTACACAGTTAGTATAGAAATGTCATTAGCAACGATACTGACAACGAGGAAGCCGTACAAGTGCGTTATGCTGTGAGGTTTACTAAAACGACAGGACAGAAGCGGCGACAGCAGGCAAAGGGAAAAACATCTGTCCTCGTCTGTCTCTGCTATTTCAGTCATGATTTTCTTTTACAGTTTGAGCAATCAGGTACAGGTCGGCACTTAAGTATAAAACCGCTTTTAATTCCAAAGCTCATTTGCAAAGCAACTGAGTTTTTTTCATTGACAAACTTGGCCACGAAAGGTCACCTTCATCCTCGGAGACCCAGGGGCAAATAGTGGGGGCGAGGGAAAGTCTAAACGGTTGGAAAAATATGGCACGAAGAAAAGTAAAAAGCGGCGAAAAGAGCCCCTGGGGACAATGTCTTACCAGACCAGTTCCAAACGGTCGCCGCCGTTCTGGCTTCTGATTGGGCAGAAAAACACAAAAGTTTTCTGGCACCAATCAGAAGCTAGAACGGCGGTGACCGTTTAGAACTGGTCTGGTAAGACATTGTTCCCAGGGGCTCTTCTCGCCGTTCTTTACTTTTCTTCATGCCATATTTTTCCAACCGTTTAGACTTTCCCACGCCCCCACTATCTGCCCCTGGGTCTCCGAGGATAGGTCACCTTGCACCAACCTAGTTCCAGGGTTCTCTCTCTTCCTCCTTCGAGGGAGGAAGAGAGAAAATCCTGGGAACGAGGCTGACCTTACACATACCTCACATGCTTCCTTTTTCTCCTTTTCTTCTAGACTTAACATAAGACTGCCAGGAATGATGTACGATCGAGTTCATATTGTGTAGCCTTGAAAGGAAAAATTCGCTCTTCACCACCAAACCATCCTACAAGGCATGAATCAGCCTCGTTTGGAAGTCTGAATAATCTCATCAAGTCGTTTGTCACGTGTTTTGACATCAGAAACAGAAGATAAAGAAAATTAATAAGTTTACATGTTGCAAGGACATTGGAGATTCATAGTTATGCTATGTTCACGGAGTTCCATAGTTATACTAAGAACTTTTTTCCCCAGAACCCTAGTTGAGAAAGTTGAAATATTATTTATTGTACAGAAACAAACATCGCAGTATAAGATTTGTTTTAGGAGCATCTCCTTTTGAAGGAGATGACAAACATTAATTGATTACATTTTTTAAATCACTGCCAGCCAAGTTTCCGAAGGAAACTCTAAAAGACGTTTCATAAAGTGTTATGGCTTCCTTCAGTGAACCATGTTAGTTATCTGCGTGTTTCAGTTTTATTTATTTGGTTTTTAAACCAAGGTTTTGGAGACAATTAAATTGATATTTTCTGGAGAGTTTTGTACATTGACGTACTTAAACAAATGAATTAAAAAAACATAAAAAAGCTGCATTTTCTTTACGAATCGTCTGTGTAATTCAAAAACCATGTGTGGGCATCAACTTTAGAGGGGAAGGATAACGGTTACTGCCGAGAACTGTTCTTTAAAGAGCACTAAACCGTTTGCTAAATAGTCCTGAACAACTGCATTCCCGGGTTCTGTCTACTGTTTTATTTCCTTTCTTTTCCTATGATACGTCTGTGCACAGGCTACCCAGTCCATAATAATCAAACCAGAACATGAAGTCTTTTTGTACGACCACGTTGGAAAAACCGAATCAACAAATCAATAAAAACTATAGTTAAACCAAAACCAGAAAGTTCTGGCGCAGCCCCTTTAAAACTTGATTATAAGTCCGTTGAGTCCAGGGTGTCCCTGAACCCCCGATGCAAAATTATTTGCTGTATCAACTGATGTGATGAAGTGATTTTACCACCTTAAAAGAAAATCCAAAAGCCGACCTTTCGAACGGTTTTTATTGTGGTAAATTCATTTTCTCAGCTCAGTTGATGAAATTAAACCAATTTTTTTGTTTCAATCCAGCTTTATCAACGAATCAAAGACGGCCCGAAGACGCTCCCTCATACTTCCTCTGTCCGTCGGATTATCAGTCGCTGGATGCTTAGTTAGAACGCAATCCGACTGTTAGCCAGTCTAAGTATCCCTCGGGCGCGCCCGTTCTTTCTTTTGCGCCCATTTATTTCCTAGCGCCTGCTACGCAGTCTACAATGACGTCGACAAAAATTTTAAAGCACAACAAAGGCTAAAACAAATATGCATCGTTAAACAACAGCCATAACAACTGCACAGAAATTACGCGAACGGGCCGGATATTTCTACAACTACACATGTTCAGGTCGATCGATCTTTGCGTCGTGCGGGACGCATGCCATGAATTAATTTGTGCCTTTAGAAATTTTTATGCGTCAGGGACGCAGGACGCAAAGCTACCAAAATCACTGGAGGTCTATTGCATCTGTTCAGTTACAATTATTAGATTTTCTCTATATCGTCCATTCAAAAAAGAGGGCAACCTCCCCTACCCCCCCCTGCGCAGACCCTGTGCGGTACATTAAAAAAATGAAGATTACCAATAAAAGAACAACCCATTATGCTATAAAAATACCCATTACAATATTTTGTTACAGTAAGGGTATAGAAGGAAAAATGTGTTTATACCACTCAACTCTCTTAGTCCAATGGCGATAGAGATACAAAGAATATGAAAAATACATAAATTTCTGTACAGAACGCTTAGAATTGCCTTACAAGCGTCCAAAGGATTGACTTGTCTAATCTTTGCCTTTCCCTGCGGTGGGATGCCCACAAAAGCCTGTAAAACGCCGTGTGGATAACTGATGACATTTAACAATTATTCCACGAGGGCGCGTTGGATATGAGATGTTAGATAGCCAACGAGGCGCATAGCGCCGAGTTGGCTATAATCATTTCATATCCAACAAGCCCGAGTGGAATAATTGTTTTATTAAAAACGCCCACAAAATCTCGTTGAATCGCCCCGACTAGAACAAACCGGAAAAGACAAGGGACTTCCGCTATTGACATGTCACACGTCTATCAAAACTGTCAACGCGCGAACGAGCTCGCCTAGACTGCATGAATGAAAAATCAAAACATTGTGCGATGAACATTAGTTTTTTAAAAACTCATCGTGATTCTAGGATTTTACACAGCAGAACAGCTTAAAAAACCTGGCAGATAATGTGAAGGAAAGGAATTTTTAAGTGACAGCCGTCGAAATACTATGAATTTGGATTTTCGGTGCAGTTATAAAAGTACGAACAACGGAGAAAAACTACTGGTATTACCTCGTCGCTTGTTATGAAGTTGTTTGAAGCCACAAGCTGGTTTTGCTGAACGAGAAAAGAAGCTATACTGCCGCCTCGATTGCTCTAGTGAATGGCTGCATAGCCTGTATTTGTAGCTGGTTACTTGTGATTTATATTCTTGATGTTGGATAAACAAGCTGCAGTTATCTATCAGCGAGTGACTCGATCGGCGAATGGCTTCGCGATCATGAAGAAACAACACTTGTCTTCTTTCGTAGCTGGTCAAGGTACTTTAGTTCCATGTGTTTTTCGACAAACTTTCAAACAAGCTCTTGTGGCTTTTTTGTTTGTTTTTGTCTTTTTTCTTTCGTTGAAATTGCATTTCTAGTATTCTAAGAAATGAATTAAAACGATTTGCTTCGGGCGCCGTTCTATCCTTCGCGAAAAAAAATCTCAGCTAGCTTCCAATTTTAAACTGACGCGTACACCGACCATATATGGAGAACATGGTATATTAGCTCATATACCATAACGGCTAAACCAATCAAAATGCTAGAATTGCATTATCCAATGATTCAGTTTTTAATAAAAATGTATATACAGTAAAACGCTGATAGCTCGAACTCGGATAACTCAAACTCCCCACTAACTCGAACTAAGTCCGATTTCCCTTGGATTTTACCCCACTTATCAGTCATTTTTACTCGGTAAAATCGAACTCGGATAACTCGAATTCCCCGCTAACTCAAACTAAATTTTCTTTCCCTTGATCAAAAATTCACTGACATTTACCCCGATAACTCGAATTCTGGTTCTTGTAACTCGACTCGGATGCCATCCCATTAGCTTGTTAAATAAGGGTAAAAACATTCAAACTAACACTGGTCAACCCTAGAGCAATTTGATTATAACCAGTGCAACGAACAGATCACGTTTTATCATAAAAATGCCTAATCATGTTAATTCGTCTGTTGAAATAACTTAAATTTGCATTGCACTACTCACTGAACACGTGGCAAATCGTCCCCGTTAACTCGAACCTCCGCTAACTCAAACTATTCTTTGTTTCCCATCAAATTTCGAGTTACCGGAGTTCTAGTGTAATGCAAAGTATACAAAGCACAGCAAATTCACTTAATGTGTAATTGTTTGTTCGTTTCTTATGCTCTATTTCAAGCGTTTATTCTTAATTTCGGATCTCACTCGCTGGAACGGCACTTTACCTGTTAATTGGGTATTCTTACCTGCTGAATAAAGTCAACTATTTCAACCACTTACCCTGAACTCAATAATGCTTTGAGACTGAATAATTTTACCGGACTATGTTTGTTCTTAAAATCCCAAAAGTATTTTCTAAACATTCCTTTGTTTGAAGGCGTAACGTTGCAAAATGTTCTGGTGATGAATGAACTCAGTTCTTTTAGAAAGGTAGCTGCCAAACTGGCTTAGAATAAACACGGTTTGCAAGTTCTATTTTTATTTACACGCTGATTTGTTCTGTTGCTTGCTGAAACGATGACTAAAATAATAGCTATCTCGAACTCCTCGTTAAGATACCGGCTAGTAGACTTACATAATTAACTATTGTCGAGATACGCTGATTTATTTAAGTGCTCCTTTAGAAATCAAAAATTTTACTGCGTCAGAATTACTGTTCTCTATTGCGCTAGTCAGAGGAGTTACACCGTAGACATCTTTTAAATGGACGTCAAGACCAAGGGACAACAGCTCGTTGATAATGGATGTGTTTCCACCTTTTGCAGCAAAGTGGAGCAGACTGAGCCCATTGTTGTCTTTCAAAGATGGATCAGCGCCCTTTTGTATCAGAATCTGAAAAGCATTTTGTTTGTCATAAAAAGCTGCAATCATCAGTGGAGTAACGACACCATTACTCCTTGAATCAATGTCAAGACCAAGTGATAACAGCTCGTTGATAATGGATGGATTTCCACCTGTTGCAGCCTTGTGGAGCAGACTGAACCCACCGTTGTCTTTCAAAGATGGATCAGCACCCATTTGTATCAGAATATGAAAAGCATTTTGTTTGTCATAAAAAGCTGCAATCATCAGTGGAGTAACGCCACCATTACTCCTTGAATCAATGTCAAGACCAAGTGATAACAGCTCGTTGATAATGGATGGATTTCCACCTGTTGCAGCCTTGTGGAGCAGACTGAACCCACTGCTGTCTTTCAAAGATGGATCAGCACCCTTTTGCATCAGAATATGAAAAGCATTCTGTTTGCCATAAAAAGCTGCAATCATCAGTGGAGTAACGCCACCATTACTCCTTGAATCAATGTCAAGACCAAGTGATAACAGCTCTTTGATAATGGATGAATTTCCACCTGCTGCAGCAGAGTGAAGCGGACTGTACCCTTTGTTGTCTTTCAAAGATGGATCAGCACCCTTTTGTATCAGGATTTGAAAAGCATTTTGTTTGTCATCACCCGTTGCAGTCATCAGTGGAGTAACGCCACCATTACTCCTTGAATCAATGTCAAGACCAAGTGATAACAGCTCGTTGATAATGGATGAATTTCCACCTGCTGCAGCAGAGTGAAGCGGACTGTACCCTTTGTTGTCTTTCAAAGATGGATCAGCACCCTTTTGTATCAGGATCTGAAAAGCATTTTGTTTGTCATAACACGTTGCAGTCATCAGTGGAGTAACGCCACCATTACTCCTTGAATCAATGTCAAGACCAAGTGATAACAGCTCGTTGATAATGGATGGATTTCCACCTGTTGCAGCCTTGTGGAGCAGACTGAACCCACCGCTGTCTTTCAAAAATGGATCAGCACCCTTTTGTACCAGGATCTGAAAAGCATTTTGTTTGTCATAACCCGTTGCAGTCATCAGTGGAGTAACGCCACCATTACTCCTTGAATCAATGTCAAGACCAAGTGATAACAGCTCGTTGATAATGGATGGATTTTCACCTGTTGCAGCCTTGTGGAGCAGACTGAACCCACCGCTGTCTTTCAAAGATGGATCAGCACCGTTTTGTAGCAACATCTGAAAAGCACCTTGTTGGCCATAAAGAGCTGTCCGCATCAATGGAGTGACACCATTCCTGTCCCTTGAATCAATGTCAAATCCTTGAGACAGCAATAACGTAATGATGTCGATGCATCCAGTTTTTGCAGCAGCATGAAGCTCCTGACCATCCTTATCTTTGTATTCAGCTTTAGAATCAAAGTCTTCTGAATCAGCTGGAACGGTCTCATTAAGAATGGACGAGACACTTTCCCCTGGAGAAAAAAATCTCAAAAATGAATTTGAAACCCAGAAACAATTACAAAGGATATTTCTAAAATGGCAGCAGGGTTTGAGAATGAGGAATAGGAAAATGAGAAATTAAAACTGAAACATTTCTATGCTCAATTGATGTGTGAAAATAATTCCGAGCGGAATAAGTTTATAATCTCGTCCTGCGCGATTCGCGCAGTACGTGGACCACGCGTGGATCCTAGCGAGCCGCAAACTTGCAGCGCTTATTCTTGTATATATCTGATGGTGTCCGCCATGACTTCGTACAGTAGTTTGACGTCACTGCGCCTTTTTAGTAGTCTGCTACACAGCCGCTTTTAGAGTCGTCACGCAACGCTCCTCCCACAAGCGTTGCGTGACGACTCTAAAAGCGGCTGTGTAGCAGACTACCTTTTTAGTTTTTAGGCAACATTTGACTGAAAGCGGTTTCCCATCGATGATCAAAGTGCTTGGTTGTTTTGCAGTCGTTTAGGAGTCGGTAAGTGCTTTTTGCAATGAATTTCGAATACAAAAGTACTTTTAATAGCAAATGGAAGCGATTTTGGATAACCAGCCTTAAGATATGCGCGAAAATCGAGGTAACAAAACACCCGGGCAAAACACGTTTTGCTCGCAAACGAGTTTATACCGTAGTTGGGCATTTGTTCTTTAAATTAGATGAAATGCGTTTACGTTAAGTTTTCAACATCAAAACAGCAGTCATTCTTCCGAAGAGTATCGCTGAATTCGTGTTTAATAGGGCTCGAGCAACTTTATATAGGGCGCGCTGGCGGAAGTTCTTGGAAAAAGGCTTTTGTAGTTGGTCATTAAAATGTTATCGCAATGTGTTTCACGTGGCATAGTGGTAGTTAATGAGTGCGGGAAGTCCCGAGTTCGATTCCGAGCAGAACTTGTTTCTCTTCTCTTCTTTTTTTTTCTTTTCCTTCACGTTTGGTTATTGTAGTTTTGGTTTGTTTCTCTATATAGCTTAAGATTTTAAATTGATAAATTTTCTTCCCTATTTTCTTCCCTATTGCCGGACACCAGATGAGGAAAAGGTAAATTCAATCCATTTCCATACGTTTCTGCATATACGAAAAATTTTGTTTGTCTCAGATGCGAACAAGGTTGCAAAAACAAAAAAATTGTTGATTACAACATTTTCGAATTTTTTGCAAATGCCAACCTCTATTTTTCTTCGTAGGGACTAGTGGAACAGGGCCTAAGAGGAAGGGAAAACCCCTGTTGTGAAAGGTCACAAACCAATGCCTATTCACATTTTTTGTTCTTGAACCAAAAGTAACCACGTTGCACAGAAAGACTCTCTATGCAAAATATCAGATGGATCATTAGATAAACCCTTGCAGGCACCGCAGAAATACGTTTTTGAAGGCGCGATACAGTATTTTGCTGGTCAGCGTCATCGCCTTTTAAAATGGTAGGTACTTCATATTTACGTTTACGTTTAATAATCAATTCCTGGAAGAAAAAAAATACACAAGAACAGCCAAAGCCGGGGGCTTAAATGGCCGGAGGTCAGCAAAAAAAAAGACGTGAAGAATTAACAGGAATAGAAGAAGGCTTTAACTAAAATAATTACAATACAATTAGATCAAGAAAGAAAAGGTCAGTTAGAAAAACTTACAACTAAAATACAATACTTGGCAACTAATTTCAAATATTTAAACAACTAATAATTCCTATAAACCTATTATTATTCCTAATAATTCCTATAAACCACACAAACAACTAATAATTCCTATAAACCACACAATCAACTACAAACAAATACACCTAGTATAGTCCCATAAGGTGTACAGATTATGCGTAGGCTAATTAACTACTCAGAAAAATACAGTCTTAAGTTTTTTTTAAAGTCACTTACTGTGAGATTATTGTGCACAGTTAACGGAATATCATTCCAAATAATAGGAGCTTGCCAAGTGATAGCAAATTGGTACTTATGACAGGTTTTATGCAGATTAAAACGTGAACGAGTCATATAATCGTGATATTCACAATTAAAATGAAGGATCGAGGAAACAGGAGTAGGTAAAAGGCTATTAAAATGTGAGAATACAAAACAAGCAACATGGAATTTATAGATAGAGTACAGTGAAAGAATATTATGCTTAGAAAAAAGGGGCTTAGAGGATGTGCGCGGAGGAGAAAAAGTAATTACACGAACAGCTTTCTTTTGAAGTACATAAAGGGGTTTAAGCTAAGAAGCATAAGTAGATGCCCATATTAAACTGCAATAATTGATGTAAGGTAAGAAAAGAGAATTATATAAAGAATTAAATAGAGTATTATATATGAATATATAATATTATATTATATATAGAATATATAGAGAATTATATATGATTCCTATAGTGTACCGTTATATAGATTCTTATAGTACCGCTGACCAGGTGCTGTGACGTCACAAAACGTATTTCTGCGGTGCCACCCTTGCATTCTTTAGTACACAAATTTACAACCTCAATGAAATTCATAGCTATTAGAGGATTAAACAAGGAGAGTTACTCAAAAAGGAACATTTGAATTGTAATTGTATGTATCTTACTGCTTGCAAGTTTCTTGTTACTCCCATCCGATCCGATGAACTGTAAAAAAAACTCGCACCAGTCCCTGGCTTCCAAGGAACGCCTGTCAGATTAGAACACTTTTCGTGCACACTACATGACGTATAAAAGGACGCAACACGCCTCGACGGTATATTTGACCACCGAAAGATTTTAACAGTCTGAATTTGAGCTATTTTGCTTTGTAAACGTCAAAACAGCAAAAGAAAACAAAGAGGAGTAAAATTGCCGTTAGTGGTGTTTATTTTTATTGCCAAATTCGGACCTAAAAAGGAGTTTGCACAGCCTGTCTACTAGCGGTAGGTTAGAGTCTGAAAGCTTGTCGCCTGGCGCCGCTAGATCACAGCCTTGAGGAGGCATAAATTCACGTTCGTTTGTTCATATAGGCGTTGCTAAGTTGAAAATGTACTTCAAAAAAACGGAAATTCTGAAGGGGAGGGGGGGTTCACGATTATGGAATTCTGAGGGCATGGAGGGGTAACGCATTTTGGAATTTCCGAAGGCAAGGGGGGGATAAAACATGGAAGCCGTCCGTGGTTGGGTATGGATATTTTCTGGAATTGCCCATTATGAAGATACCTGCATGGTCCTCAGTCGTCTCTTCTGTCATCTGAGACGCCTTGCGCTTCTTTCCTAAGAAGCTCAATGCCTTCCTAGAATCTGAAATGAAAAGGACGAAAACAGTCTTTTGCACTGATTATGAAGGTATGAAATAAAGGTGAAAAAAAATGGTTGTAACCGCACTCCATAGACTATTTCAGTATTTTTTTCTGAAAATACAAACATCCCAGTTTCCTGTAATCCACATTAAAATGAAATCTGTTTTCAAGATTTTACAGCAAGAAACTGAGTAATTATTTTTCCTTCTGCGCTATGAAACATTAGTATTGAGAAACAGCAATTTACATACCACGAGCCAAGTTGATCATCTTGTTAACAAGCCCTTTTATTTGCTCAGCCCAGTTGTATTTCCTGCCATACAAATCACGCAACATTTTCACTTCCTCAACTCGACTTTTCCTGTCCTTGTCCCAGAATTTCTGAATGGCCAAGGTCCAATCGGCGGGATCCTCTGAGTTAACCACAAATGACGGACCAAAGGGTATACTGTACAGTGCCTCTCCAAAACCCGAGTTGTGACTTACCAGCACAGGGAGACCAGCTGAAAGAGCCTCGAGTCCTGTCAACCCAAAGCCTTCTGTTCTTGAAGTCATGACTACAAGATCTACTTCCTGAAACAAGCGCTTTAGACTCTCTCGGTCTTCAACAAATCCTCTCACCCTCAACCGATTTAAAGGAACACCACATCTCTTTAACCGTTGAGCTATTTCTTCATGTTTTCCCTCCGGAGCTCCAACAAACACAAGACAAGTATCTTTTAATGCAGCAATCGCTCTCCCAGCGATGTCAAACCCTTTTAATTCAAAATCTTCCACGTCCCCACGTCCAAACACCAAGACCTTGCGTGGTTTTCTTTCACTAGGAACCTGCTTCACAGTCTCAAACTCTTCAAATACTCCAGGAGTGAAGTCAAGAACATAGTCATCTTTTTGACAGCCACGAAGATATGAGCGAAAGGCTTCGCTCAACTTGGGTCCAATTCCGACAACATGATCCGCCATTTCACACAGTTCTACTTCAGTCTTGTGCTTGTCTTTGCCCTTTGAAATTGGATAGGAATAGTTTTTAAACATCCCACATTCTTCTGGGTCTGTGTGCACAACCTGAATCCACTTGCATTTCTTCATGTCTTTAATGAATTGTGCTTGTTTACCAAGTGTAACTCCGTGACCTACGACAATGTCAATTTGTAAATCCTCTGGTGGAAAGCAAAGCCAATCCAGATGTTTGAAGCCAGACCGTGGTGTTGCCTCCACAATCTTTACTTTGTATTTAAGAGCTTCCTTTTTGTCCTTCTGGCTGCATTGTGGTAAAAAGACAGTGATTTCCACTTCAGGACATTTGGCTAACTGAATGGATAACTCTCTGTTCACAGTAGAAAGCTCCTCTTTGCTTGATCCCCATTCAGAAGCCAGAATAGTGACTTTCACTTTGCGAGATCCATAACAAGTCTGTGAAGTAGATGCCATTTTCAATATCGCAGTTGTCAAATATCTAAAAATATAAATAGAAGATTAAAACGTTTATTATAACCACTTAATGGTACACTCACTGTACTCATGGTGTACTGAGATCACCTTGAAGCATGTTTCTTTTCCAGCAGACGAGCCCAGTTATTGCTGAGAACGTTTGTTAAGCTGAGAAACTTTGTCCGTAAATGCTAATTCTAGTTATGGCTCAGTCAATTTTAAGCATGCCCGTCGCCCCTGCCCATGGCCATTTCTTGGACATTTCTCATGTTTTCTTCGCAACACTGCGAGAATTGCCCCGTGGAGCAAACATCGTGTTCAAATGTCCCACCCATGAGATAAAAAAAACAATGAAGTTTCGTTGAGAAAAGCTGCAAGTCACATATCAGTGTGCAATAAATGTGATTTGAAATGGGGGCCTTTGAAGGTTTATTCCTGATGTCTTTTTTTAAAACGCAGTTTCTATAGTACTGCATTTTTGCCCAGTGTTTCCCTTCAATGCATTGTAAGCAAACATGGCATAAGGACTGCCTGCATTGTGTAATCTCACAGAAACTGTCGTTTTCATATGTTTTTTGTATAAAAGTAACACTTACACATGACATAAACTCAAGCAACATTTCTCTTTTAAGAACAGTAGTCTTGAGCACACTGATCACCAGCCTACTGAAGAACATGATGATTCTTGTGTATCCTGTTTGAGCTTTTGCTGCGATATGTGGTCAATACGTAAACCAGCCATGAGAACTAAAATAGAAAACAAAGACAAAAACAAAAAAATTGCTGTTTGCAGTCAGCCAACAAAAAAGTGCAAAATACAGTAAAAACCCACAACTAAAAATCTGGTTTTTAAGAACCTGTTTATAACCTAAAATTTGGCACGGTCAGCTGGGTCTCCTCCATACAAGAACCTGTTAACCCTAAAACTTGAAACAGGTTCAAATTTCCTGTTGACTTAGGCAAAGGGACTTCGAAATTCATGTGATCATGAGTGTTTCAGTCCTTCTTCTCATGATCATTTTTACATAAATGCCAATTTGGTATGCAGATTATATATAAGGAATGAGCTGAATACCACTAAATACTCACTAAATAGCTTCCATTACCCATCCATACTTACTAAATAGCTTCCATTACCCATCCATACTTACTATATAGCTACCATACTTTTTTTTTCTTCAGACAACAAGAACCAATTTAACAACCTAAACAGCCTAAATTTGTGCTAATTACCATTAATTTAAGAACCTGTTTAGGCTAACTTGGGAAAATCTTAGTTACAGATTTTTACTGTATATCAATTTTAACATCTTCAGTAATTTTATTTAATCAAACTATATAATTTCCGTGCTTGTCATCGGCTTTGAACCCCTGGCTAATTCTTCATAACCAGCTTTGAAACAGTTGAAAGACGTGGGGAATATGCAATCATTGATATCAAGCAAGACAGCAATGTGGCAACTTAGCTGTCTTGTCATGAGTGAAGATCTCACGAAAATGTCAATTCAAGAGTTCTGGGCTCCAAGTATGTGAGACCAAAACAGCCCAAATACAGACAAAAAAGAACATATTCAATACAAAAATGTGTTAAAAATGTTATGCAATGACTGTCATCTGCTTTTTGAGGAGTTAATATCAGCTGCAACAAAAATGACATGATCCTTTCACATTCCGAAACTCAGTGCCATGAAAAACATTTTAAAGGAAGTCTTAACAAGGGGATAAGGGATGTGACATTTAAGAACTTACAGATGTAGAAATGCTGGCTTGAAATAATAGTAATTAAACAATTTATTGAATCTGAATTTTGTGTGATGTGAAGAAACATGCAGATCTCCCTACCTCCCTGGGTACGATTTGTTTAATGACATGAGAATAACAGATGGAATTGGAGATACTAATTAAACATAACTATAACGACTGTTGTCATATTTTCAGCCTTTAATTAAAACACCAGATATTCAAGAAGTTTTTGCTAGCACTGAACAAACAAAACCATTCAAGTGTGCGTACAATGTCAAGCACTGTCCAATTTATTATTTAATCATAACTATAACAAAATTGTCAAATCTCATTGGCTATCAACTGCCCTGATTTCAGCCTTAATTGAACAGTTTAATAGGACAGTACGCGTCATGCCTAAGAAATTAGACAGTACGTGCCATCATGCGCGCACTTAAATAGCTTTTTTTTCACTGTTAGCAAAACAAAATTTCGAATTTCCTGTGTTTTGATTTAAAAAATAGCCCATGACATCACAAATTTTGTTAAAGTTATGATTAATAGGACAATTGCACAATGACAATATTTGACCTCAACTACCAGAATTCATTTTGGTTTTGCTTTGTTATTTAAATTTGTCAATCCCGCTCAGGATTAAAGAACAATAGCCTTAATTTGCACAAGAAAACAACAAACTCAAGGATTCTGGTAGTTGTAGTAAAATGACGTCATCATGCAATTGTCCTATTTGTGACCGAACTTCGTATCATCCAATTCGGTCTGTAATCATACTTGTGATTAAACAAATCGGACTCCCGCTACGCGTTGGTCCGATTTTGTTAATCACTCGTATGATTACAGACCGAATTGGACTCCATTCAGTCCTGTTACCATTACTAAGCGTGATGCAAATGGTCCTATTTACACTGTTCTATTTTATACTGAAATCAGGGCAGTTGGTAGCCAATCAGATTTGAGAATTTTGGTATAGTTATGATCAGTAATCAATGGTAATAGGACTATGTGGATTCCCTGCTCACAGATGTCCTTCTATAAAATTTTAAAAAAGGCTAGAATGCACGAGCATGAATTGATCAAACCTTTGAATCACTAAGGCTTACTTTCTGGCAAATAAAATGAACTGTATGTAAAAATTGAAAGAGAAATAGCAAAAAATTCCAACTGCTAATTAAATCTTTTCTTATGGTTTAGAATAAGCTATTCTCAAAACTGAGAAATAATGTTTTGATCAAAGCTGTGTAAATCGAACTGAATCA